GGAAACATGCAAAAAACCCTGTCAAGTTTGGCAAGCAGTTTTTGCTTAAGGCTGTCCTACGTGCTGGTCCCCATTTTCACTTACTGGTGGTGAGTCTGACATAGTGAAAAAAACAAATCTTCTTTTGGAAGATAAGCTTGTATTAGCGATGCAAACAACAACTATAAAACAGAGCGTGCATGAAATGGGCTTGCGCATGGTCTCGCATGCGTTTAATAGGCGTTCCCTCTCAGGAGCGGGCACAGGGTTGTGCATGGGCTTTTTTTTTAAAGTGGAGAGGGCGGTTCTTTTCCAAAATCACAAAATCCTCCACTATACCTTTAAAATCTGTATAAAAACTTAGAAGGTAATATTTTCCTATACCTAGACCTATATAAGGTGTTAATTGGCCTATAAACATTTTGAAGGTGTCCTTCTTATCAAAAACAAACTTCTTTGTATAGCTCACTGTGGTAGGCGACAGCCTCAAAGCTTTGAAGGTGTGCGTTTAATCCTAAAATGTTTTCACTTGAAGAGTTCTGGATAGAGCATATTGACAGATGAAAACATTTTTGTTTTTTATGGTAAATGCAACATGTTTATATATTTTTTCACATTTTGTATATGATTACTGCTCTAACTGGGTTGCTCTATCAGCTAAAGGCATGTTTTACAGAGTGGTGGCCTACTGGTTAGAGCTAAGAGCTTGGAATCCTGCGGTTGTGAGTTCAAAACCCACTCCCACAGACTGCCACTCTGTTTCCCTGGGCAAAGATCATTAATCAACCCCACACTGCTACCCAGAAGCCTCAAAAGGGGATGGGTTAAATGCAGAGAGTGAATTTCATTGCGCTGTACTTGTGTCATTGTAATGACAATAAAAATGCTGGAGAAAAAAAAGAATGGAATACCATATCTACAAGGGTATGTTATTTGTAGATAGAAATAAGAAAAAACAATGCAATCAAGGTTGTAAATAGTCATTTTTGGAACCCCATACAGCACAAATCACAACATAAATACTAACCTAATAAATTATAGATACAAACCCAAATGTCTAATGAGGATGTTAATTCATAAGGAGGATGTGGCAGTGAGCAGAAGTATTTCCACATAGAAGTATTTTTAGATTTTGGCATTTCTGGAACTCCATACTTTTGCCTGCTTGAAGGGAAAGTTTTATAAAGAGCATATGCAACAGGGCCATGTTAGGCCTGAAATGTGTTCACGTCACGCCCACTGCTGAACAGTTGTTTCCCCTGCGTGCATTTAGCATAGTTTGAATATGTAAAGTTTTCACAGCATTATAGAACATTAGGGACAATAGAGTGCGCGTGGAACCTATTTAAAGAGAAAATAAGCTGAAATGAAGCTCATTAGATGAGTTTGAGAAGATTTAAGTAACATTGTGAAATGCAAAGTGGTGCTCTTACCAAATTCCCCCTCTATAATTCCCAGCCTGGCATCATCAAAATCCTCCTGATCGGACGCGGAGTCCATCTCCAGTATGTCGCTGCCGTTCATGGTGAGCGCGTGAGGAGGAACAGCTGGAGAATTATCCAGTTAGTACTTATGGAAAGGTAGCGAGCAACTCGGCCTCCTGAACATTCCTGCTTTATTCCCGCACTGTCAGCGTAACAACGGAAGAAAAACAAACTTTTTTCAAGTTCAGGCTGGAGAAAATGAAAATCATACGTAAGGGTGGGGCGGCTGAAGAAGGGGAGGCGCTGGAGGAGAAAGGAGGAGGAGGTTAGAGATCTCATAAATTAAGATTCTGTTCTGTAACTACGAAGGAATAAACTTGAACTTGAAAATAATAAAAAAAAAAAAGTATTGATGGTTGTTTATACCCATGGGCGGTTTTAGACAGGGGCCAACGGGGGCCAGTGCCCCTGTAGATAATGTCCTGTTATGGCCCCTGAACTGAAGACATAATACTCAAAGAAATTCTAATGATGATATGCACTGGAACAGACATTGTTACTGATAGGTTCTTTGGATCTATTTCATTTTTTTTTTTTATTTACAAGTTCTGTTTTACTAATAATTTAAAAACAATAGGGTGATCGCTTCAGTGGTATTGAGATAGGACCCCAGTTTTCATCTGCTAAATAGTAAAAACAAATTGCTCTAATTTTAACAGGTGAATTTATAAGTTTTTTTCTTGAGTTCTAATTTAGATTTAATAAAAAACAGTAATTTTCGCTTAAATTAAAATTACAAAAATATGTAAAATTCCTAAATTATGAATGTATGTTGACCTCATAAGAAATAGAATATTAATTAAACCTAATTGAACAGAAATTTCACTTCATGCAGCTCTATTAATATATTTGAATCCCTTTCCCTGTTTTTTATTTCATGCTTTTCTGTGCCCCCATGAAAACACTCTGGCCCCCTAGCACATTTGGTCTAGATCCACCACTGTTTACAACTGTTGTTTACAATTGTAGAAGTGTATCAGAATAAAATATAAAGAAATTGGTGAAATAATATAAACATAGAACAATATATGGCTAGATATAAAGTACGTTTAAAAGCTATTAGGACTGAAATAATTTATAGGATTAATCTTGATTAATCGATTATTTAAACAATTGTCAACTAATTTAGTAATCGATTAATCGTTAACTGGAGTATAGAGACTGTAAAACCTACCTTTATCTGATAGAGCAGCCCAGTTAGAGCAGTAATCATATAAAAAAAATCTAAAAACTTTGCATTTAACATGAAAAACAAACATTTTTTCATTTGTCAATATGCTCTATCCAGAACTCTTCAAGTGAAACATTTTAGTTTTACCTGATTTAATTTCTGTAAAAAAAAAAAATATTTTAGCAACCATTGGCTAGCTGATTATTAATTGATTAATTGGAAAAATAAATAACAGATGAATCAATTTACAGAATAATCGTTAGTTGCAGCCCTAAAAGCTATAAAAACCCAAAATTGGCTTATTTGTGGAAGATTAGAAGACGCTTATATCTATTATCTGTAACCTTCTTATGATTTAAGTTTTAACATAGATTTATGTAGATATTTTTATATTTAAAGGAATTCATAATTATAGTTTGTAAAAGTACAAACAAAAACCTTAATTGACTGATTATTCTGTCAACATAGTTACTATGCAATGAGTTTAATATTTTCTTGGCATCTTGGCCTAGTTTGTTCACAAATACAGTTTAACAAATAACCGATCATCTGTGATTGGTTTTAAGATCAGCCAGCCAAAATAGTTTGTCTCTCATAGATTCCATTAAATCTTTATGAAAAATGCTGGTGCTGATGCTTTTTGAAGAAAAGGAGCCCCAAATCCAATTTTGCACAATACCCAATACTGAAATGTGGTAATGGGAACATTAAGGAAGGAAAAAGAGTGGCAGATAAGGATTCACAAGCATCGTATAACTTGATAGGATGCTTGATAGGATTTTGAGGCAAAAAACATTTGAGAAACTTTGGTATATTTAAATAAAAAAATAAATAATGATTTGATTACATCCAAAGCAAATTAAAAGAGCTTTACTTTATTGCACAAGAATTAACGTACTGAAAGCATGTCCCTGTACTGTGTACTGTGGTCAGGGCATCTTATTGTGGAGAAGATCAGTGTTTAATATCGCAAATATTAAAGGGATCTCAGGTTCCCTTGATAGTAGCTAGAAGCTTGTGATGTTGGGTCCATCACCTTCCTCAAGAAAGTTTTAACTGTTCTCTATGAAGTTTAAGTGAGTTTCCCAGCCAATCAAGCACAGTATTACCCTGTTATCAATACAGGTACTTGCTTCTTTGGCAGTGAAGTCAGTAGTACTGTCTTGTTGGAAAATCAAATTAACATCTCCGTAAATCAAATATACGGCTGAATTCTGTGCTTCTACACTCTTACCAACACTTTCATTTTCAAATAAAACAAGCACTTGACTTTTAAAGAAAGAAAAAAAGGGGATATCACTTGTTAGGGAGTGGGTTAACAGAGGGAAGTAGAAAGCAGTTATCCCGCCATACATTTCGAGCAGCAATTATATCCTTTATTTAAGAATGCTTGGATTGTTTTTTATGTCAGCCATTAGTTGTCTGTGGATCAATTATCAAGACAATAGTATTCCCATGGTTGTGTATGATATAAAAAACATTCTATTTTAAAAATAATCATTGGGTTAAATGTGTTTGTTAATTATTCTAACATTCTGGAACACAAAATGTATCCATACACGTACTGGCGGAATGTGCTTGACTGGCTGGATGTGCTCTATTATCCTCTGACATGGGAGTTGGCCCAGAGCTCATCTGCCTGGCTGTGTGTTTCCATGTACGGGGCCGCCCTCAACAGTTGCTTTTTGTATCTCTGCTTCTGTCTCCTTGAACCCCAGTCGGCCTCGGCAGATGGCCGCTCACACTGAGCCTGGTTCTGCTGGAGGTTTCTTCCTGTTAAAAGGGAGTTTTTCCTCTCCACTGTCGCTACAAGCATGCTTAGTCTGAGGGATTGCATTCGTGTCAATGAGTTGATGCAATGAACTCATTGACACGTCCTTAGATAGAAAACTCTGAATCAATTTGACTGTATGGTCTGGTGAACTGTAAAGTGCCTTGAGATGACATTGTGTGAAGTGTTGTGAATTGGCGCTATATAAATAAAGGGAATTGAAATTTTATTGAGTTAAAAGGATTAAAACCATCTGGAAGTATATCACCCTGTTTCAATAAATGCAACCAATTTAAAAGTTTAATTTTTTGTTTGTTATATTACTGCAGTAAAGAAACGTTATAAATGTATTTAAATTTATTGCAATCTTCCATCCTTCTTTCTCTCCTTCATTTCTTCCTACGACGTTAATCATTTATTTTCTAATACATACCGGAAGCTAATTTAGTGTATTTGTTTTTTTAACTGTTAAATTAGTTAAAACTGGCTAAAAACTATTTTTTTAAACTCTAAAATTACAGGTCTGGTAAACTATAAATGTAAGTGGGCAATGACGTCAACAGAGAGGGGGAATAAAAAAGGCGACGGACCTAGCCGAAGCCATTTCCGCTAACAACAAAGCAGCCACACCGAATTAATTTGAAGTGTTTTGTGGTTGTTGTTTTTTTTTTTTTAGCTTTAGCAAGATCTCAACGGATTGTAAGACCGTGGATTAATCAGAAGACCCACACTTAAGCACTTTACAGCTGACACAATGGGCAACTAACAGCCTGTTGCACTGAACGTTATTAATCAAAACGCCTGATGTTAGCTTACAAGCTAACGCAGCGGTTGGCTTAGCAGATCGGCTGACATTAGCTTGCTGTTAGCAGTTATAAACATGTCCTGAGACCGAGTTGCACTCAGGGCAAAAGTTATTACCATCTATAGACGCGTCCGTTTCAAGACCAGACACCTTTTTGATCAGGTGAGATAATTATTTAGTCACCATGAAGCATACCAGCTCCATAGTCTAGATTATCCGGTGTTATTTGAATGCGATAACTAACCTCTGTCTTTTATGTAAAGCGGTGGACAGAACGACACAGCTTTGAGTCTGAAATGATCCCCATTATTGTGACTGTAAACTAAAGTAAAAATGCCTTTCCTGCGTTTATAAATGTATCTCACTGGGTTGTTTTTCACTTCAGATCTGCAAAAATGAAGATGTTTTCAGTGGCACATAAGACCGTCTTCGTGGTGGATCACTGTCCTTACATGGCAGAGTCCAGCCGGCAGCAGGTTGAGTGTGACGTGCTGACCAAGAGCCGAGCTCAAGTTATTCCTCTGGCCCCTGTGTCCAAGTCCCTGTGGACCTGTGCTGTGGAGTGCTCCATGGAGTACTGCAGAATCCTGTTTGATGTTTACCCAAAGGACAAGCTGGTTCGATCTATTCTGATTTGCTCATTTGTCTGTTTTCTGCACTGACAATGCACACTAATTATGATAAACCTTATATTTAAAATATAGTAAACAAAAGTTATTGAACTTGTTTGTGTCTTGCTGTCATTCAAAGGTGAATTATATCGTGAGCGATTCAGAGTTCCACATTTTAAACACCTGGAGGCGAGAAGATCAGAGCACTCATGAAGTAACCAGCTGCCTGTCACTCAATTAATTTAGCTGTTTTGAAAAAAAAAAAACTGTTTCACTTCCATAAAGTTTCCTTCTTACATAAAGCTTTCCCCCCCCTCTAATAACAGCTGATGTCAGCTCTGGCAGCTGTCGGGCCACCAAATCCACGCGAGGACCCAGAATGTTGCAGCATCTTGCATGGCCTGGTCGCCGCCGTGGAGGCTTTGTGCAAGATCACAGAGTTGCAACACGAGAAGCGCACTGCTTTAATGGACACAGCCGAGAGGGTGGCCAACAGAGGTCGGATTATCTGCTTAACCAATGCTAAAAGGTAAAAGATAAAAAATGGTGAATTCCTCGGTTCTATACGACCTACTTCCTTATGCAATGGTACATTTAAATTTTGGTAAACCAGGCTTACCCTCTGGATAAAGCCAAACTAAAAATATATACATTTCATCTGTATTAATCACATTTAATAACCAAATAAATCAGGTTTAAATCAAATATACACCCAAAGAAAACATCAAGTAATTAAATATTATATTAAAGTAGCTATTTGGGTTTTAACATTTGGATTAAAGGATTAGATTGAAAATAAAATTGCATTCATTTATGCTGTTAATTTCCAGTTCAGTCTGATCATATTTGATATTTTCATAATTCATGGAGGAGGGGGGTTGTTGTAAATGCATAGATTATAAGGACCTGATCGATAATGCATGCTGAAACTTTAAATATTTTATCCCCTTTTAGGCAAAAAATGAAAATAATTGTTCAGATGAATGAAATGGAAAAATTAGACCACAGCTTAACATTAAAGAAAAAGTTATCATTAGAAGTAGCATGTTTATTTCAATCACATGGTGGGAGTGGGAATCCTCTTTTATTCCCTGGTGAAACAACAGGATTTTAACAGGGGATCAAAGGGTGGCCCAGTCCTAATATGTCTGCCGAGTAGGTGGGTTACCTTGCTATGTGATGGAGGGGACCTTACCCTATGTAATGTTTTAAAAGAATAACTCCAATATATGATCTTGATGTGACTAAAAATGTCAGAGATGCAAAACAAGATGACTAAAGAGCCACATTTATGAAAAAGGAAATGGGGAAGAAGAATACAAATGGGGAAGAAGAATACAAATCTAAAATCCTCTTTATTGGACGACTGCTAAAAAAAAAAAAGAAAAGAGATCCCTAACATCTGTCTGTTCTGTCAGTAATACCAACGTTAGGATGTTGGAGGACTGCATCCAGGAGACCATTTCAGAGCAAAACAAACTGGCAGCGGGTTCTGACAGGTCAGTAGCCAGCATGCTAAGGTGGTTCCACTTTTTTAAATGAGTTCATACTCCTGGATAAGTCAGCCTTTTCGCCAAATGTGACCCTAGTTGGTTTGCTCTGTGTTAATTCCAGGTTGATGGCCATCCAGCAGTGTGAGCTGGTTCTAGTTCACATCTACCCCCAGGGGGAAGACACTCTGGTGTCAGACCGGCCCAAGAAAGAGGTGGATGAAACCCCGGGGTTGGGGCGGCATGTATGCCTATATCTTCACCCATCAGCTCTTATTATAACACCACCCTCTACCTCTGTCTCCTGCAGATCTCCCCACTGCTCACTAGTGAGGTTCACAGCGTGCGCGCTGGGAGACACCTGGCTTCTAAACTCAACATTTTGGTCCAGCAGCACTTTGACCTGGCCTCCACCACTATAACAAATATCCCCATGAAGGTAAAGCCTTCCTCTCCTTCCTTTAGCGTGCACTTTTTGTCCACCAGCATAAACGCTGACACTATCTTCTCACATCACCCTGCTTGTTTTATTTTCCTAGTTAAACTGCTCACATTTCTGCTGCTTCTTTTTCTCTCGCTGGCCGAATCATCCAATAAATCCTCTCTGCTCCTATCTTTTTGTTCATCCCATCTGCATGTCGATATGACTGTGACCGTGCTGCTGGTTTCATGCTGTATTTTCTGTTTTGCTAGCCCACATTAAATGTTTGCGAACAGGTTAGTACTCTCACACACACATCAAAGTAAGGCGTAGGGAAGAGTTCACAGCATGTAGCTCGGCTGTTGAAAGCTGTCATTCTCAAGTAGAGAAAAGGCAACGTTGGTCTGGAAATGTTTGCTGTTAAAGAGCCTAAATTGACATGTATTTAAATTTCTAATGGATAAGCGTCTATAAATCCTTGATAATGTTGCTGTTGTGTCTGAATGTGACCAGCGTTGCCTCCTCTGAGTTACTACTGTGTATTCCTTAAAGGTTTTCCAATCCAACTTTGTTGTTAAATCCCTTCCTTTGGGTTATTCTCCAATGGAGAACTATTTTCCTTTTAGAGTGTTCATGTTCTCCCTTGTGCCGTCCGATTTAAATCTGAACTTTATTTAGCCTCTAGCTGTTAAATCTCAATGATTACTATCCAGATGTATGGTTCACTGCAAAAATATTCAACTTCTTGAAAAGTGTGACTTGCATTGGTATTTAGACGGCCTTAAACACTCTCTATAGCAGCAGCAGACTGTGGTTTGTAGTCTGGAGAGAAAACCTGTTATAAACCACAGTAAAGGCTGAGATCAAAGCAGATTTGTTTGCTAAAATGGCCTACTCAAAGCCTACACCCTAATTTCAGTTGAATGGGACAAATTTTAGTCAGTAAATGTGCAAATCCAATAGAGAAACGTTATCCTTTTTATAAAACCATCCTTTTCTATTTAATTTCTGTTTGACTATTACCGTACATAAAAATCCCCCAATGATTTATTAAAGAATGTTTTTAACATAAGAAAAATTAATCGGATGTTTGAATAATTTTGCAAAGCTCTGTACATTGTTGACAAGTTTAAAAGATTTTTTTCCCGTTTGGGTTTGTAAAGCCTTAGAATCAGTTGATCCCAAACATCAGCCAATCTTCAGATCCATCCGTCCATCCTTTGTTCTCCTCTCTGAACATGAAATCAGCAAGCAGAGTTAACGTTGTTTAAGCTGTTTAAGCTCTAGTTTTCCGTACTGACCTGTGTTTGTCACTTTCTACCATGATGGGCAGGAAGAGCAGCACGCCAACACATCTGCTAATTATGACGTGGAGCTCCTGCATCACAGAGACGCTCACATGGAGTTCTTTAAAAGCGGTAGGTCTTCGTTTATATACACATTTACAGAACGGGTACTTAGTAGCAGGTTGGTTCACATACATACTTTAGCCTTTACAGATAAAACAGGTTTTGTTTTACACTTAAAGCAAAGATTTTTCCAGATTTTCCCAAAAGCATTTAATCTGGATGCCACATCGCTTTTTTTTTTAAATTACCATCAGATTAGCTAGATTTTGAGCTGCATGTAATGAATAGATTTTTTCCCCCCAATTTAAGATTCTGATTTTCACTCAAATTGTTGCTCTTTAAGGTTATTGTGACATAATTAATTATAGCTTTCGTTGTGCCAAATTTTTTTTTATCCACATTTCTTTCCACATATTTCTCTTTCCTGCCCTTTTTTTTTCCTAAATATTGTGTCTCTTTACTCTGTTGGGTTCAAGTTTAAACCACTAGTCAATGGTGTCTGTATGTGCAGGTGACTTGCATATGGCAGGTACGAGTACTCGTGAAAATGGCGTTAAAGAGACGATGACGCTGAAATGGTGCACCCCACGCACAAACAGCATTGGTGAGCAGAATCAGCTCCACTTCTGAAAGCATTTGAAGGGTTTACGCTTGTTGCTTAAGTTAAATTATTAATATTATCTGCCTTGAGAGAATGCACGTCTCTTTTTAAGTTGAAATCTCAGTTTGTTGAGAACCTGCTGCCCTTCCCCAGTGCCTTAATGAGACTAACAATATGCTGTTTATTCTCACTTTTTCAGAACTGCACTACTGCACAGGAGCCTACCGCATCTCCCCTACTGACGTTAACAGTCGTCCGTCGTCATGTCTGACAAATTTTCTCCTCAACGGTGAACAGCAAGAAACCCTTCTATCTCTTTTGATGTAATAATAATTAATATTTAACATTATATTCTGATTTTTTTTGGGAAACAGGGAGATCAGTGTTACTGGAGCAGCCAAGAAAGTCTGGGTCTAAGGTCATCAGCCACATGCTCAGCAGCCACGGAGGGGAAATCTTCCTGCATGTTCTCAACAGCAACCGCTCCACCTTGGAGGACCCGCCCTCCATCAGCGAGGGCTGCGGAGGACGAGTGACGGACTACAGAATCACTGTGCGCTCAGCTCACTGCACCACAGCTGATATGGGAGATTTAGGAGGCTTAATTACTGTTTTTTTTTTTTCCTGTTTCGTTTCAGGATTTTGGTGAATTTATGAGGGACAACCGGCTCACTCCTGTCGCAGAATCTTCTCATGATCCTTCAGGGAAGCTGCCAGTAGAAAGGGCCAAAGCTCAGCTGGAACGCTACACCAGATACTGGCCAATGATCATCTCCCAGACCACCATCTTTAACATGCAGGCAGTGAGCATCACTAAGAGGGTTTATTACATCTACAGAGATGATCTCAGTAATCATTGGGCACTTCTGTATGTGTGTTTTTCCCTATCCCACCACCAGGTGGTCCCTCTGGCTAATCTGATAGTGAAAGAGGTTCTTACTGAGGAGGATGTTCTCACCTGCCAGAAAACCATCTATAACCTGGTCGACATGGAGAGGAAAAACGACCCCCTCCCCATTTCTACTGTTGGATCCAGAGGCAAAGGCCCCAAAAGGTATCTGCTCACATAGGAGTTAAATAAATGGTACTATTCATCTGAAGTGTCTGCTTTTCACACACATTTTGTCAGTTTTTAACAGCAGAAAATTTTAATGTTTCCCTGCAGACGTGATCATCAGTTCTCACATTGATTTAGAAGAGCTTTGGTTTACCTTTAAAATTAGCACCACATTTAAAATGACAGGCTTTTTAACATGTGTTGGGTTTCAGCAATGATTTGTAAATAATAAACATCTTTTAACCAGTGGTCCTTGATCTCTCAATAACTAAATGCAAATATTAAGTCACCTAATTTAAAGCCCTTTAGTGTTTTCCATCTTTTGCTGCTAGTTTATTACCATTTTGGCTCCCTAGTTCTTAATTTTTATTTATTAGTGCAGGATGAGGAGCAGTGAATACAGTATATATCAGACCTATTAGATTTTGCCTTTGATTAAAAGATTAAGAAAAATATGATTACATTCTGCTTGGTGTTGATCTACCAAATAAAACTTCAAAGAAACAGAAGTTGCTGAAAGGTTGGAGATACTAGAGGTAAGTAGGATTAGTGACAGATGTGAACTGCTGTGATCACCAGGGACGAGCAGTACCGCATTATGTGGAACGAGCTGGAAACTCTGGTGAAGACTCACGCCGGCGCAACCGACAGACACCAACGGGTTCTGGACTGCATCGTCGCCTGCCGGAGCAAACCTCCCGAGGAGGAGGAGAGGAAGAAGAGGGGGAGGAAGAGGGAAGAGAGGGAGGACCGGACAGAGAAAAACGGCAGCAAAGAGACGGAAGATAAAAGCTGGCAAGAATCTGAGAGGTCAGGCTTATGTTTTCCTGTCAGCATGTGCAGCTCTTTTTAATCTAAACCTTTATTGATATCTGGTTGTTTCCAACTCCTCTGCAGACTAAAGGGTTTGCTGGAGAAGGATGAACAAGAATCGGAAGTGATCAAAGATTCCCCGGACTCTCCAGAGCCACTCAACAAGAAGCCTCGCCTGATCCCGGAGGACATTCATCCTCCAGAGAGAGCAAAAGGTTCCAGCCCTACTATGGGATCTTTTCTCTCAATAAAATCTAAAATAGCTCTTTAATGTGGTTTAAAATGTTTTACTTTAAGAACTGAGGAAAACCACAAAAGCCGTCTTACAAACACTAGAACTAGAAAGTTTTTTCCTCTCTGCAGGGCCTGCCACACTCCTCAGCATGTGGACCAATCGGATCACTGTGGCAAACTCTAGGAAGCACCAGGAGTTTTTTGGAAGAGCAAGTTCAGTGAACAGCAAGTTCGAGCTCTACCAGAACCTCAAAGAGGAGAACGGGTAAAAACAAATCCTTCCTCGTTTCACCTCTTCCCTTGTCCTGTTCTAGGGGATTAAATGTCCTTTTTATTTTACGTTTCACAGGATGGATGCCCATGAGAATGGAAAAGCTTCAAGATGATCTCGCAACTGCTCATCAATTTATCCTTCAAAGACATGAACATTCTCCAAAGTAGACATTAAATGCATTGATCAGTGAATTGTAACAGCAAAATTTCTAATTTTTTTACCCATCATTTTGTAGATATCTTTACATATTGTATTACTCCATAAAAATTGTCCAGAAAATAAAAGTTTCTGCTTTTTACTGTTTGAAAAACCCATCAGTGTTACTTTAGTATTTTACTTTATTGAAATATCTATAAACATACAAATAATTGCTGTTTGGCTTGTTTCTAAATGTTATTTTAAATGATAAAATACTCATTCCCTAAAATGAACTTGCTGGAATGCAGTGAACCTTTTTGAGCAGCAGGGGGAGCAGTGGACTCTTTAGACACTTTTAAAGTTTAGCCTCTCTTAGAGGTGTTATTATTGAGGAATTTAAAAGGTTTTTATTAGAAATACTTTGAATGAATTCAATGTTATTTAAGATAAAGCTGGTTCTCAGCTTAGATTTCACTTCAGGTTGTTTATTGTAATCTTTTATAAAGCATTAATGGAACGTTTTCTAAAACGTGTGTTAATTTAGCAAAGAGCTGATACCAGGATATGGCAAATTGAATAAAAATCTATCTTTTGAGATCCCCAAAATGACACACATTCTGAGGTCACCATACCTATAATTGAACACGGTGATGGAGCATCACCAAGCAAGCTTTGGGGATAACTAAGTAGGGTGAGAGAACTGGTCGTTTGATTGGAAGTGATGGAGTTAAATGCAATAACCTAGTAGATAAAAAATAACTGCAGACTGTGGTGGATGTTAACCTTACAATGAGGTACAGTTAAACACTGGCACCTGCAGTATAAGGTTTGAAATCCGATAATATTCATGCAAATGTCGCAGTTAAAGTCCAGACCATTATCTAACTGAAAATCTGTGGCAAGAATTTAAAGTTCCTGTTTTTCTCTCCAGGTTGAGCTACTTGGTAAGGAGAAAAAAAAACTATTGGTTTATAGCTTTGCAAATTGAGTAGAGACATACCCTAAAGACTTGAGCTTAATTTATTTTATTTATTTCATAATTATACCCACACAGCTGTAGTTTTATTTTTTTAATGATGTATATGCTCTAACTTTAATGAAACGTGACATCTTTAGGTATAAAATACTTGCTGCTTATCTCACAGCTATTACTCAGTGTCATCTGTATAGCTTTCTTTCACTATATTAACCCATATATTCTCTGTTATTCATGCAAACAGTTCTCATTATAAGTCATCCCAGCATATGATCTACGTGACTAACGCCCAGAACAAGCCCATACATTCATATAGGAGGGAACAGCAGCAGACACATCCCATGTACTCACTGTGGACCGACTGTGTGACTAACTGTGGTGGGCTCTGTTGGACCCGGTTCAGATCGGGGATTTCCCGGTGAGGTCACAGGGTCAGACGACTGGTGAACAACTCTGCTGAGGGCTTCATGGAAGTCGCACGGTGAGGGGGAAAGGTCAGTGGGATCACTGATGAGATGTCACAACAAAATCTGACTGTAGAGGCAAAAAGAGGATTAAAACCTAAATCCTTACATCTTCTAATTTCACACATGTATTTAACTTAAAACACAATGTGAAAATATTACACTCAATTTGATAAACTCCTCATATTAGCATGTTAAACATTTATTAACGCCAGACATCCCCAAAGTCGGTCCTTGAGGGACTGTACTTCATAGAGTATTTAGCTAAATATTTAATGAATTATAACAAAATTTTCTTAATGTGTAGAAAATGCTTTGCTGCATTTAGCTAAATTATGCAGATTCTTTTATTAAAAAGGTTAACAAATAAGCTATCTTCAAATAATTTGCGACATACATTTGTACTGAACATCTCACCTCATCTTCAGCTAAATGTTGAGCTAAAGAGGACATTTAGCAAACATACAGTTGAACATTGGAAAATAAAATCAGCTCAATGTTTGCAAAATATATCATTTATCCTTCGTTGATTATGCCGATGATTTGCACATTGCTTTCCTAAACAAACATTGGACCACTGTTTGTCTAATTAAAATATAAAAAGCTTTGTTTATTTTTAATAATATATATTTTTTGGGCCTTATGACAAAGTTTAGACTCCAACATTTGGATATTCAACAGCTCTTATAAGCTATAACCATTTTATGTTAGTTTATATTCACTTTAAGTTCTTTCTTTTGGGTAAATTATGTACAACTTAAAATATAGATAAAAGAAAAGGATAAATCGTGATTATTTTTTATTTTCAGAGTAATCATAAAACCATCAGCACAAAATAAACATTTTCAGTCATTTCAGTTCTTTTATTTTTGGAATGCTAGCTTTACAGTATAATGAAATAATTGCACTGCAAACTTGAACTGTTTTTTTTTCTTTCCTTTCTTTAAAGACATAATATTTCAAGAGACACCCGAGGCTGTGAAGTTTTAAAACCTTAAATATTTGGCAAACATCTAATCTGAATGTTGAAATTCCAGAATCCTACTAAAATGAGTCTATAACAGTTCATGTGTTTTAACGTGAAGTTTAAAAGTGTCCTCCAGCCTGAAGATCCGACCACATTCCAAACACTGTAAGGACTTCTTGTTGGAGTGAATCTTCAGGTGCTTTTTTTGTGCTCTCAGTGTGGGAAAGGATTTCGGACACATGGGACACCTGTAGGGATTCTCTCCGGTGTGTCGACGAGTGTGCACCGTCAGCAGGCATTTGGCGATGAAGCCTTTCCCGCAGTGTTTGCAAATGTACGGCCTTTCCCCCGTGTGGTACCGCATGTGAAGCTTCAGCTCTCCGTTGGACAGGAACGCCTTTCCGCACTCGGTGCACAGGTAGTTCTTCTCCCCTCTATGCATGCGCATGTGCCTCGTCAGGTGCTGGTTAGACGTCTTTCCGCAGATATGACACTTGTAGCGTCGCTCTCCGGTGTGGACGCGCATGTGCAAGTCGAGGTAGGCCGAGGACCTGAACCCCTGACCACAGTGGGAGCAAAGGTACGGAGTCTCGCCCGTGTGGATCCGATAGTGAACGATCAGGGACGATTTGGAGAGGTACCTTTTATCACACTTGTCACACTGATATGGAGGACCTTGGCTGTTTGAGGCTGCTACATTTGATAGGAGCTCGCTGGGAAACTCACAATTGAGCCCAATGCTGGTGTTTTGAAAGAGGTTCTCTTCAAAAGCATCTTCAAACGGACTCAGATGCTCCTGTCTGATGTGACTGAGAAGTGCAGAAACGTTGGTGTCGGTAAAGGAACACATGGAGCAGCGGTGCAGTTTTAAAGGTGCAGAGACGACACCTGGAAGAGAAAAACTATCAGCTGCACTTCTTATAGAACAAACTTTTTCTACCTTACAGATTTATTTTAGTTCTACAAATAAATGTCATCATAAAACAAAGACAACTCTAATTTTTAAGAAAACAAAACATATTTTTGCAAGTATTCATTTAAGGTAGAAAAGCTATCCAGACCAACCTGTGACAACATGTGAACACATTATTGCTTTATAAAGGTAATAACTATGGTAGCTGTGCCACAATTAGCAGTAATAATTGCCAACAGATGTTTAATATTGATGTCATAAAGGCAGATTTAAGACTGGGCTTTGACTAGGCCACTTTAAATATGTCATCCACTCAGAGTTGACCTTGTTAGGGTCTTTGGATTGTTGTCCTGCTTCACATGAGCTTAGGGTTGGAACATTTTCCTTCGTTTTTCTATGAGGTTCCCCACATTGTCCAGACACTGGAGCCTAAAGTAGTCCCAGGCCATCACACCACCACTGCTATGCAAGTACAGTCTTTTTCAGAATAGCTGAGCTAACTTTACACCAAATGTAATCAGACCACCGCCTTGCAAAACTTCTACCCTTTTCTGTTCATTAAAATATTATTTGGCAAATGTGAAGATAAGCCTCATTTTTCCTTCTGTTCAGCTGAGTTTTCCCCCATGAAACTCTTCATTTTGCCAATTCTGCCAGGTTTTGCTTAATCCTGAGCTCTGACGTTGATCAGGGCAAAATGCTTTTTCTGTAAACCAACAAACGTTTGATAGTAAAGGTCTTTTTAGATCGCCTATTTTCCTAAATAAAAACCATTATTTGATGGCAACTTGTGTGATTCTTTTGTTTATCCCTTATACCAAAATTAATGATTAAAAAAAACAAAAACCAACATTGCTCCAAAACAGGAAAAAAAAAATAGACAACTGCTAAAAGTTTCTTCTGCATTCAACTGTAAAAAACAGTGTGAATACCCTTCTGGATACCTACTTGAACATTTGGCAGCTACCAGACCATCAGTCTGTTTATCTTTCAGGTTCTGTAGACGTGAATGGTCATATGTTTGGCTTTCTTCCTCATCATCATCATCATAATCAACATCGTCGTCAGCAGCAGGGGCAGGAACAGCAGCTGAACCTTTGTGTTGGACTGCTGAAGGCTGCTTCAAGTTCGGTTTCAGACGGAGAGAGAGCGAAGGCAAAAACATTTTCTGAGCCTGCGGCAAGCCTGTATCAGAAAAACATAAATATTTAAAAAAAAACACATGAGAACAAGTAAGCTGACTTTATATGGCAAGTCGTTTTAACATAAATTTGGTTGTACCGCCTTTACGTTCAAGATATCTCAAATTGTTTTATGACTAGACGTTTTAGCGATTTTAAGATATCTCTAATTATATTTTTACTAGCCAAAATACTTATTCGGGATATCTCTAATTACATTCTGACTAGTCGAAATGACGTCAGATTTACCATTAACTTGTATGGAGACGTCAATTTAGGATACACATTTCAGATATCTACAATTAAATTACGACTAGTCATAAAGTAATTTCAAGATATCTCGATTTTAGTTTTGACTAGTCATAATTCTAATTAAAGATATCTCAAATGCCACCATAATTCATGATATCTTAAATGTATTTTAGGATAGGAGATATGCAGTTTTGACTAGTGAAAACTCTATTATAGATATCTTAGAAGCAAATAATGACTAGACATAATAAATTTAAAGATATCTCTAATAGTAATTTTGACTATTCGAAATTCCTTTTAAGATATCTCTAAATTAATTAAAGATATCTTGAATTATTCAGCTTTTCCATTTAAGATATCTTAAATTGACATCCTGACCAGTCAAAATGTGTAATGATCTTTTTAATGGGCTTCCAGGAGGATCATTCCTAAAACATTCCTTACTGTCAGTTTAATCCAAAGGAGGAAAAGTTAAATCAGCGTGTGATGCTTCAAATGACAAATCCGGTGTCGTAATTTGAGATATCTTGAAAGGAGTTTTCACTAGGCAAAAATGTAATTTAAGATATCTTGAATTATTATTCTTCCTAATCAGAATGTAAACATAGATATCTTAAATTACCATTCCGGATAGTCAAAATGTGGTTTTGTCTAGTCAAAATGTATTTTAAGATATCTGGAACGTAATTATGGATGGTCAGACGAAACCGAATCTATGTTAAAAAGGCTTGCCATAGACTTTATTTGTTTTGTTTTTAGGCTTTGGTCATTTACTTTTGTTTGGATTTCCTGTTTGTTGCTCCTGGAAGTTTAGCAGCGTCTTCAGCTGTTCTGGATCCAAAACTAGCTTCCCACATTCTTCCATGACAGAGGGGGCGCTGCTGAGCCACTCTGCAGTCTGTAACCGGTATCAAAATAATAACAAAAATAAATTAATTTAAAGAACTGCCATTTATTTTGGCAATTAGTTAGTGTTGGCATCAACAGCAATAAAAGGAAAAAGGTAAATGAACGAGTTGCAATTTAAAAAACATATTTTGTGAGCAAAAATATACAAAGAAGAGTCCATCTTTGTAGAATGTAAATTTGTATATATTGACACGAACAAGACAAGGAAGTTTACCTGTTTTATATCAGGAATGGGCAATAGATTGTCCAATCTGGAAATGAATTTCCAAACCAGTCTTTGCAGGGTAGCTTCATACTCTTGTCCGTAGTGGATCGGAAAGACGTCCTGAGAAAAACAAACACCACGAGCAAGTTAAGCTTCTAATGAAAGTGATTAACCATGAGATCCTGCTTGAATCATAGCCGCTGTTTTAGATTCCCACCGTGAAAAACCTCTTTCTTTCCTTTGCGTTCTCAACCAAGGCATAAACAACCTCTACGAAATTTGACTTTGAACTCTCCAACTCATTCAGCTCCTTTAAGGTAGAGTGAAAACCAAAAAAGAAGAAAGTGTTAGCTGTCCTTTGCAATAGTTTGATGCAAAAAGTGTCTTTATCACGATAAAGACACTAATAAACCATTCATGTTATTATAAAACGTAAAAGCCATAAAATACTCATGCTAATTTGATAGAAGAAATAGTTTTACTGCTTTTGGCAAAGTTTAAAAAAGATAGATTATACCTACCTCTTGGTTGCAGTCAGCGCTCATCTTGAGATCTTTAATAATTTTCAGGTGGGGTTGGATGTTTAGCAGGTTAGCTGTGCTCTTATTTTGACACAACTCAAGCACAAACTGAAACAGAGGTATAAAAAAGCCTAATATGTTTTTATTTCTCATTTATCTTTAAGTAGTGTGTTTCTCAACATGATGTTGATTTGCTCAGTTACCCGCGCCCTCAGTCTGAGCAGGAGCTGCACTCTCTCCCTCGCCGTAAGCAGCTCTGGAGCCAGCTCCGTCACCAGCAACACCAGCTCCTCCACTTTCCGGTAATGTGCCACATTACCGCTCTGGATCACCTTCCAGGCAAAGGCACACATCAGGCGTAGGGTGGGAACCAGGAGGCACAGAGAGGGGATGGATAAGCCACAGCCTGAGAACAAAAGGATACGCTAACATCAGCAGATGGCCATAAATGCACTAAACCAGGAAATCACTGAGGCGGATGTGTTCTAACTTCATCTTTTTATTAGGGAGGCATTAAACATCTATTTTTGAAGAGCTTTTAACTACACGGATGCATCTCAGTTTAGAAAAACCTCAACGATAATAATGTGGTTAGCTCTACATGTTGGTGCTCATCTTTACCCTCCAGTCTTTCAGCTCTTTTATTTTGTGATGTTTCCAGAGCTGCAGGATTTGACTGCATTTCTGGCTTAGGGCAGCCAAAAATCTTCTCCATGATGGCAAACCATTTACTCTTTTGCGCTTTGGAGTCTTTCTGCTCCTTTATCCTTCCATACTCTTGTTTGAGCAGTCGGAGCTTTGTCCTGCACTGGCTGGTGGTCTTATCGAAGCCCTGCGTGGCCAGCTCTGAGCTCAGCTGAGCGTACACCCTCTCGTCATCCTGGGTGGATTTTAGCTGCTCCTGGACATGCTCCTCAGCCCATTTGGTGAGAAGCGCGTCAACTTCCTCTGTCGCCCAAACGGTGTGTGAAAAATCTATTCAAAGTGACACAAATTTAGAATCAAATATAAAACCGAATGTTTGTCACCAAACGTTCTTCCTCACCTTCATGGGGGTTGGAGGCCGTCAGCACAGCGGATAAATTACGCTCTGTGGACGCTTCTCCTTCAGGGAAGAGAACACTATCCATGATGGCAAACCAGTCACTTTTATCACTCACATTTACCCCCCTTTGTTTGAGTTTTGTGTACTCCTGCTTGAGTTTGTCCACTTTCAGACTGCACTGCTGGGGCGACTTGCTGAAGCCAACCTGAGCCAGTTCGTCGCTGAGGTACGTGAAGACTTCATCGTTTTCTTCCGAGGTGAGAAGCTGCTTCTGAATGTTTGGCTGTGCCCAGAGGGTGATGAGCACCTGGACCTCATCAGGCGACCACTTACATGCATCTGTGATATTATACAGAACCAGAGCAGAGAGAAAAGGGGTTAAGAATATTTGTCAAGGCTTTTATTCAGACCTGGAAAACCAACTTTCCCAGAATGCACAAAGAACCCTGTTACTAGCACTGAAAAAACTATAGAGAAATAAGTAAAAAAATTTTAAATTAAGTGTAATTACCCCTAATTTGAGTATGTAAATGAGGTAGTTTGCCAAAGGAATTAGTATTTTTACTCTTAAAATAAGATAATTAGATAATATGCATTTGAAATAAGACTATGTAATTGTTTTTTTTTTTTATTATTTTAAGTGTAAATTGTCTTGTTCCATTGGCAAATGTCTCTTTTACCTCCTCAATCCAAGAACAAATGCACTTATTTTAAGAAAAAATGACTTGTCTAGATTTAGATTTTTTCCAAAGTAAACCTGCTATGAACTTGTAAGCAGGTGGAAATATAACATCTTTTTTAGATGTTAACTAAGTCGTTTACTGATTGTATTTCTTCACTAACCCTCAGGCTCCATGTCCGTCTCATTTGGCTCTCCTGATGAAGACTTTGGAGTTTCTGAATGTTTCGATGTGGCGCCCTGAGAACCAAGGACTTCATCCAGAATCCCGAACCAGGCAGTCCTAGCCCAGCCAACATGTTGACTGTTTTTGACCCTCCTGTAGTCCTGCTTTAGCTTCTTGATTTTCTCCTTGCATTTCTGTGCGGACTTGTTGAATCCCAGCGAAGCCAGTTTGGAGCTGAGGCTGTTGTAGACGGCGTTGTTCCTCACGTTGCGACGGAGCTCCTCCTGGACGGCCGGATTGGCCCAATATGCCAATAGTGCTTGGACCTCCTTTTTAGACCAGCTACATGTGTGGACATCTGTTTAGAAAACAAAAAAACATGAATATGTTCCTCTTTAAGGCAGCTACCGTGTTAGCTTCTATTTAAGCTTTTTGTATACCTACATTTTCTTTTTCCAACGCGGCTGATTGCAAACATGTCAGACATCTGCTGAGCAGAGGAGGAACCCGCTGTGCTTGTCGATGGAGTGTCATCATCCTCAATTCTGACGACGAAGATATCTGTTTCCTTCTTTATGTCGGAGGGTGAAGGCTCAGGGAAGGTTTCAAAATCATTTGTTGAAGGTGAATTACCTGAAATAAATTCCACATTTTAAGATAATTACATTCACTTCTGCACAATGCAGTGTAGGATGTACATCTGGTTACCTTTACTGTTCTCCTCAAACACAGCGGGCAAAGCGAGCTCTTCGGAGGACAGCTCGGATGTTTCTGGATGATCCCTGGCTGCGGTACGCGGCGCGCCGAGGACCTGATCAATAATGTCAAACCAGATGTTCTTCCCGCCGTCCAAATGATTGCTGTTCTTTATTCTCTTGTAATCCTGCTTCAGCTTCTTCAGTTTCTCTTTGCACTTCTGGGCCGTTTTGTTGTACCCCAACGCTGCCAGCCTGGCGCTGAGGCTGCTGTAGACGGCGTTGTTTCTCACGTTGCGACTGAGCTCCTGCTGAACGGCTGGATTGGCCCAATGTGTCAGCAGCGTTAGGACCTCCTTTTTTGACCAACTACATGTGGGCTTATCTGAGAAAAAAGAACAAGAGAGTACAATCAGAGGTGAAGATCCAAACACTCCTAAGGTTAGGTGATCCCCAACCATTATACCTCCACAGCTAAGTGTCTATTTCCACAACAGCAATCGAGCACTTTGCCTTTACCTCTTCTCCTTTCTACGGTGCTGGGTTGCCAAAGGGTTGAGGTCTGCCAGGAAGACTCAGCCGCCCCGTTGCTTGAACACGAAGCATTAGAGTCCTCCATTTTGATGGGGTAGAAAACAGCATCTCGTGTATTTTCCTTCTTTTTAGATCCTTGGAGACTCCCGGTGAAGGAATTCGAAATATTTGCCACAGCAGCTTGATCTGCGAGGGGACCAAAAGAATAACATTACATTTAAAAACTTTAATGCTACATAGCTTTGGATATCATGATGCATATGACATAAATATCCTTTTTTAAAGTGCCTTTTATTATCTTTTATTGATCCCTCTCCTGTAGCAATTGCTTCAAAATGTCCTGCTATATAGGGTTCAAGGTTCCAGGGATGTCTACTTATCTACTTGAAATTTTGCGTAACACCACAATGAAAATAGATCAATCAATGTTGTGATTTATGACAATCCCTTAGTGGTGTAATTAAATATTCTAAAAAAACATTTTTAAAAAAAATCATCTGATTAGGTGTTTTGATAAAAGCAGAATATATTCATGATGTTTTTTTAATAATGTTGAGGAAAAGAGCTAATGTCATTGGCGGAATAATAATATGTCCCAATCTCTTTAAAACTTGTTTTCCCCTTTTATTTAATGTTGAGTATTCCTTACAGATTATGAAAATCCCCAAATCTGTTTTATAAAATAAAACAAAATATGAAGAAGTTTATTTTCTGAAACTCATAGCTTCACACCCTAATCAGCTCATTAACTGAACAATTCTTCAGCCTTTAGACCAGGGATGTCAGACTGAAATCCACCAGGCTCTGTGTCTATTTTCCTACACAGCTGAATCAAAATTCTACCTCACAAGCTGCAGTCAAGCTCTGCTAATGAGCTCTTATTGGAGAAATAAAAGCATAACATCAGCTGTTGAGGGTTGAAGTTTAAAATTACTGATTTACTCTCTTAAGAAGCTGGTTGTTCAGAAAGTTCTCAATCTATGCATTTTAAATGAAATTCAATGGAAGGAAGAAGGTTGGCAGGGAAGGGTGCACCAGCAAAAATTGGGGGCGTGAGAAAATAGTCAAGCAAGATCTGTTTAGGAATTTAAATGGGAGTCTAACAAGGCTGAAAATACAGATGAATACTAGACAAGGGTTATGAGTACTGCTGAAACAATTAATCGGATTAATAGTAATGAATCGATTATTGAAATAAACTTCAACTAATTTAGTAATCGATTGTTAACTCTAGTAAAATATCCCTTTAGCTGACAGAGCACCCTCTTAGAGCTGTAATTATACCAAAATTGTAATATATATATATATATATATATATATATATATATATATATATATTGCATTTAAGATTAAAAAAAAACTTTTTTTGTCTTTCAATGTGTTCCATCCAGAAATTCTCAAGTGGAAAAGTTTTAGTTTTATCTGGTAATATTCTGTAAAAAAACGTCTATAAGGAACCTTTTGCTATCTGATTTTCAATGGATTAGTAGAATAAATAATCTACAGATTAATCGATTAGCAAAGTAATCATTAGTTGCAGCCCTAGTTATAAGTCATACATTCCTCAGGTCAAGCAAATCCTGATCACAGACCTCAGAAGTGTCTAACCTGGGCTATGAAAAAAAGCAAATAAGTAATGTTTCCTTAAGAAAGTAAATCATAGTAGGGAATTCTTTCCACTTTCTTCAGCTGATAAACTGAAGAGGCTGTTTTGTTTTTTAAACAGGACTTTGCTCCTTCCTACATTGCTGAAGGTACCAATAGCTGGTTCAATGACCATGATGTTCCTGCACCTGATTAACCAAAAAGCTCCCCTGACCTGAACCCTGTAGAAAATGTATGGGCTAATGTTGAAAGGATGAGAAACCAAACCAAGCAAGACAGATGACCTGAATGCAGCAGATAGACAAATCTGAGCTTCCATCAAACCTCTGCCGGCTGATCGCCTTCATCCCACGCCGCAATGAACTAAAGATTTGAGCTTAAAAGCCTTATTCTTATTTCCTAAAAGTTTTCTTTAGTTTTTCTTCTTTTGTTGGGTTTTCTTAAGCTATAATAATCAAAATTACAAAAACAGTACCTTGAAATATTGTGTGTAGCCTTTCACTTTCTATAAAGGACTAAAATGACTAATGATTTCACTCTGTTGCAATCTTTTATTTTAAATATACTTGTTGATATTCTTCAGATCAGAGAGTATCCACCCTGGAAACTACTACCCTAACTCAACATTTTTTTTTTTTTTTTTTGTTGATGCAAATCACCAAATTAAGAAACTAAGGGGCTAAAAATTCACCAGGGTTAATAATGGGGACAGATTTAATATAAAGAAGAAATGAAATGAACATTTTTGATGTTCTGAAAGAAGATCCCAAGGAATAAACGAATAATAAAGATATCTTCTTTTATAAAGGATGAGGCTACTGATTGTGCATTGGGCTTGTAGATAAATGATGGATTGCTCATATATTTTCACAGTGGATCCGTTTCCGCATCTAGCATCGAGTTTCTGTCACATTGTCGACAGCAGCTCCCTCGTTGATTATAAGGTCCCATATAAAGTTAGCTAAGTGTTTAAGGTTTACCTCCACTGCTTAATTAAGGAACTCTGTTCTGACTGTGAAGCCAGACTGTCTGACATTCCCTGAAAAGCTCCTTATTGCTTATCGGTGTTGCCAACTCACGTTGAATTTTTTCCTCCGACCACAGGGAGAGGAGCGCCTCGGTCTGTTCGGGAGACCAGCTCACCGTTGGCTCCATTTTCCGTTTCTTGTCCCTTAAATATAAAGTTAACAAAAAAACAATAATAACAATACAAAAGATTAATATGGAATGTTTTCACTTCTTTATTTTTCAAAATGGCGCCCAGTATTCCGCCCGTCGCTTAAATGACGTTGGTAGAAGTGAACCAATAGGAATGTGGTTTGACGTCACCTTGGTCGCAGTTCAATGAAGCGATACGTAATGAAGCCGCCATCTTGGTACGGGAGGAGAGGCCTCCGCGCAAGTATTTGGCCTACAAATAACCTTTTAAAAGGAGTGTCACAAACGATATCTTTGTTTATGTTTAAAAAATATGTTTAAAAAATAAATGAATGCATTTAACAAAATATTAATTGAAGTTTAAGATTTCTTATTGTGTTTAATAACGTTACTCCTATTGTATATTAATTTACTCAATACTGATTAGCTATTTTCTTGTTGTTGTTTTTTTGCATAGACATTTTTAAGTATCTCTGAAGGGAGTTTGAATAAACAAATAACCCTTTCATTCAACAGTTTTGCACAGCAGATAAAATATCAGATATCTACTGCTGTGATCAATATTAACTCTAGAGAGAAAGAAACGTGCTATGATCTAATACCACGGTTAACACTGGGAAACATAATTGAATTCAACAAGTAAAATAATTAACCATAACAGATTAGCTAATGGCTAATAGTGCCCTGTTTGGTGCAGAGGATCCCCCAAAGCTTCACTGTTTAACTGTTATTCTTCTAGAGGAAACCACTAAGGTTTGATGTTACTGCAATCAACGATTTACATTCCTTGTTCACCTACATGGAATAAACTCTCAAAATAGGTCTCATTTATTTAGTCTCTCACTCCTCACGACCTTCTACAGAAGCACCATAGAGATCAATCTGATCAGCTGTCTCACTGTGAGGTGTGGAGGCTGCAGCGCCTCAGACTGGAGGAAAATTAGAAGAGTGGTTAGAACAGTTGAGAGGATTATCGGGGCTCCTCTTCCCTCCATAAAATACATTTCAGCCCAGCGCTGCATGTCCCGAGCCCGTAACATGATCAATGACTCCTCACACCCCCATCATGGACTGTTATCCCTGCTGCCTTTGTGGGAAGAGGTTTCGCAGCATCCGATGCCTGTCCAGCAGATTCTGCAACAGCTTCTTCCCCACTGCCATCAGAAAAGTGAACTGTTGTGTAAATCATGTCAGACTTTACATCACACTGATAACACCAAACCAAAACACAGCATAAATGCACATATATATTTAATGCTCTGAACTTCCATATCAATGCAGGGGTTTTTATTTGCACCATGTTTTCTCTCCCTCACCGTTTGCATTTGATTACTGGTACACTTGATGGAATGGAAATGTCATGAAAGCTGTACAAAACAAAATTTTGTTTTGTCTACACACTGTGTATACAAAATGACAATAGAAGTTGTCCAAGTCTGGCTAAACAAAAAACATTTTTTTTATATATTCACTTTCCTCTACAACAAATTTATAAAATACAGCATTAGCAAAAAAGGGGCTTTAACCATTTATTAATTTTTTTCAGAGCATGAAAAAACAAAAGAAATGCTAAATGGGTATGTTATATAAAGGGTATATACATAACGGCTAAGACACGAGCAGCAAATTTGAATTACATCATTTGCTGTGAAGAACTTTAAATCGAGTCGCTTTCTACATTTACAGTAATAGGGAAAAAAAGAGGAAGGTGTTGCATATATCAAGACAAAAAGGCTTATGGTACTCAACAAAAAAAAAAAGAGAAGTTCAAATGTTTATATTTATGGTGGAGTAAAAACATGCTACAGCATTTTATTAAACAGAAAAAAAATATATATGTATATATATGGCCTGTACTTTTTCAAGTAAGAGAACTTGATCAAAGCCCTTTAAACTACATTCAGTCATTTACCCACTCATCAATGGTAGCAAGCTACATTGTAGCCACAGCTGCCCTGGGGCACACTGACAGAAGTGAGGCTGCCGTACACAGGTGCCACAGGGCCCTCTGACCACCATCTGTAGACAATGCGGGTGAAGTGTCTTTGAAAAGCATGTTGTTTAGAAGGTGTTTATGTGATAAAAAAAATTACCATACAAATTAAGTCTTATGGGAGGGATGATTCTGGACTTTTCTAGAGAGCAAGAGATTGGAAATGGCTGATTTTTAATTGATCGTCTCGTATTAGCAAAAAAACAGATGAATGTTAAGGGTCTTGCAAATTTTCTCTTCATCTCTGATTGGTTACCAGCATGTCAAATAGTAGGCAGACTATTCAGTAAATACATCAAAACTAACATGGATAGCTTTCATTCTATAAACACATCAGTCAACACTCTGGTTTATTCAAAATAACATAATTGTTAAAGATAGTGTCTTTAAAACGTGAATAGGGAGGGATAACATTGTTATTGCTTGAATTTTGTTGGATCCAAGAACGTCGCACCTAAAAGCTGCAGTGCAGTTCTATGTTTTAAAGTTTTTTGATGAAAAAAAAGTTAAGACATTAGCATCTGCTAGGAAAAGGAGCATAGTTTTTTGTAATCATTAATCTCCCAAAATCTTCTCTTTTCGTTTTTTTTTTTTTAATAAAACAATAAACTGATCAAGAGGAAAGTCCATTATTGGTGCACATGTACATCTAGGAGCTATTCTTTAAATTCTAACCATAATCTGAAGATTCAGTTGTCTGTTAATCAGTTCAGTGTTTTCAGTCATGAATCCATGTGAATCCGTATTGGCATGATGAATTGTGTCCTTCGTGGTAGCAGTTCTCATTGACTCATCTGAGCAAAGATCAGCTTTAAGCTCACGTCTCCTTCAATAATTTTCATCGCTGACCTCTTCTTCCTCGTCGTATTTCCTGTTTAGGGACTGCTTTTTGTGCTTACCCTTCATCCGTCTCTTGCTGGCGAAATCGGGGTTAGCCTCCTTCACGTGGATCTGCTCATGCTTCCTAAGCAGGGCGGGGACCGTAAAGCCCTTCCCGCACGTCTCGCATGTCCAGGGTTTCTTGCACGAGTGAGTCCTTTTGTGGACGTTGAGGTGGGACGCCAGCTTGTAGGTCTTTCCGCAGACGTCGCAGCTGAAGGGACGCTCATTGGTGTGTAGCCGGATGTGGACCTTTAGGTTTCCGACTTGCGTGAAGCTCTTGTCGCACAGTTGGCATCGATAGGGTCTCTCTCTGGTGTGGATCCTCAGATGAACTCTCAGGCAGTACTTACTAGAGAACTTCTTCTGACAGACGGGACATGGGATCTTTGTTTTTGGTAGGTGGTCTTGCTGGTGCCTCTTCAGATCCGACAGGTAAACAAACGTCTTCCCACACTGTGAGCAGAGGTACTGGCGGTCGCCGATGTGGTAGCCCATGTGTCTCTTCAACAGGCTGGGGACAAGGAACCTCTTCCCGCAGCGCTCGCACATGTGCGGGCGATCCCGGGTGTGCCAGCGCTCGTGGTTGGACAGCTTGAACGCCGTCGGGAAGGTTTTGCTGCAGTGCTTGCAGGGGAACGTCATCTGGCTGGTGTGGCATTCCATGTGGCGCTTGAAGTAGGTGGACTGCGTGAAGCCCTTATTGCAGATGTTGCAGTAGAAGGGTTTTTGCCCGCTGTGGGCAAGGATGTGCTTTGTCAGGCTCTGCAGTTTGGTGAAGCACTTGCCGCACTGACCACAGGCGTAGGGGCGCATTGTGCTGTGGGTCTTCAGGTGGTTGTTGAGGAACGCCTGCGTGCGGAAGCTCTTGTTACACGCTGAGCACTGAAAGGGCTTCTCTCCTGTGTGGATGCGCTCATGGTCCAGAAGCTTGGACTGATAGGGAAAGCTCTTATCGCACACGGAGCAGGTAAATCGATCATTCTGGAGTCTCAGCTGCCTCTTTCGTCTTATGCTCGGCCTTGGGTCGTCGTCGTCGCTTAGTCTGCCTGGGGGAAGTGGCGGTAACGCTGGGAGAGACATCGAGTTGGTGGCGATCTGTGAAACCCACTGATGTAAAGTGACCCGCTGGGTTTGTGGCTTCTGGCTGTCCTTCTTTACTGGCACTTGAACAACTCTGAAAGGGATGGATTTCAGAGGCAGCTTCTGTAACTCTGGCCTTTCAGGCCCCGCTTGTGTTCCATCTCTCCTCTCACTTTGAGGAGTCGCTGAAGCCTGCTGCTGCTGTTCAGAACTTTTTTCCATCTGGGGGTTCTGGCTTTGCCCCGTTGCTGTGGCAGCCTTCTCCTTTGCTTCATTTCCAGAGGGTGCTTTGTAACTAATTGACCCTTCCTGCTGAGGCGCATCAACAGAACCCGCCGGGCTTGCAAGATCATCTGAAAAAGCACCAAGATCTTCACTGTCACTGAGAGGGGCGGGGCTGTTCTCAGCAGCTGTGACCTCGGGCTGCTTTTGTGGCTGTGGTGGTGGAGGCGGCGTTTCTACTGGTTTGGGCATGAAGGCCAGGGAAGAGAGCACCGGGTCGCCCACAGAGGTGGAGACGGTTGCTGTGGAAAAAACAGCAGTTTTAAAAAGGATTTTATACAAAATAAAACAAGTTTCTTCTTTTTCACCTTAACCTCACAAAAAAAAAAATTATCTGTTTTGGTCTGTCCCATAAATCGCATTAAGAAATATTGAAGTGTAGTCTACCTTTAACTCCTAGGAGTCCTTTGCTCTGATGATGTAGCAGGAGAGTCTTTAGATCTCCACGGTCAGGGAGGAAACCCCCACATGCATCAAGGACGGTGGCATTTGTTGAGATCATGGCACCAAGCTAAAGCAGAAGCACAGAGAATGGAAATTAGGAGAACAGTCTCTTCTAAACAACTATATTGTATCTGATTATATATAAAAATGTCTGCAAAAATGCTAGGCGTGCATACTTGGGACAGATTAGGAACGGGAAGAAGTTGCTCTAGCTTGCACACCAGGCCAGCAATCAAGGCTTGCAGGGCTGTGTCAAACTTGACGCCGTACTGAACAGGGAAAACTTCCTGCGAAGAGAGGTTGATCCATGTGTTAAGCGAACATCATGAGCTGTAAAGTGGATTTACAGCCAAGTGCTGGTGAAGATTCTCAGTCATCCAAGTCATAGTAATTCAAAAAAAAAAAAAAGAAAAGACAAGAAAATCCACCGGACTTTGTTTCCATGTTTGAAGACGTTTCGCTTCCCATTGAGAATTTAACTGAAAAAGATTCCTGAATGGGAAGCGAAATGTCTTCAAACTTTGAAACAAAGTCCAGTGGATCGTTTTTTAAATTTTCTTATTTTTGATTTACAGCCAAGATTAAAATCAACAGGCAGGCCTCACCTGAAAGAAGCGCTTCCTCTCAGTGGGATTTTTAAGGAGATTTTGGATCAGGACCATGAAGTTTGTCTGGGATTTCTCCACCTCCCTATCCTTCTATGGCACAACAACATTTCAATCAGATTTTATCTATGCTTAGTGATCTAGAAGATTGCGATTAGTTGGTAAACACGCATATAACTGGTGTATGAACAAGTTGCACACATACCGTCGAGGAGGTTATCTTTAATTTATTTATAAGGGTCTGAATAGTTTTGGAATCTGGTGGGCCGTCTTTCTGAAGCAGGTCCAAGATTATCTAAGTGAGCAAACAGAAATGCAATATAATCAGGAAAAAAGGAAGAAAACAAAGAATCTGAGTGTCCTGTTGCATGCATAAAAAAGAAAAATCACCCTCGCTCTTAAGCCGAGGATAAGTTGTGCAGTCTGCTTGAAACTCAGAAGCTCAGGAACAGTCTGCGTCACCATGGTCACAAACTCCTCTACTTTGCAGTAATGCTTCACGTTCTTCTGCCGTATGACCTGCCATATGTATGAATAGGTCAGCTGCAGCGGGGAGGCCAGCAGGCGGAGGGAGGGCAGTGGAAGGGCACCTCCTGCAGATGGAAGCAAGCATGAAAACAGTTAGTGCGGGTTAGATGTCCAATAATAAAACATTACACAATTCATGATTTAAAACCTCTGCTTTTTTCAGTCACTAAAAGATCTAATTAACATATATTTCAAGATACATTAATTATTGACATTCTTGACATTTGAGAAAACATTCAACCCAGTTTGATCCACAAATCATAAAGCAAAATGAGTGTGCTGAAGATTTATTTTCTGTCTTTGTGGTCTTTTGGCAGACTTAAGAGTTTAGATCTTAAGTCTTCCAAATCAGATCTTTAGTCTAGATCTGAAGGAGTTTAGAGTATGCATTAATCTGTTGCTTCTGTCATGGACTTAAATACCAAAACAATCAACAAATTAAGACAAAAGCATAATTCAATTGAATTCAGGTTTTGTTTATAAAGAGCCAATTCACAACATATGTCATCTCAAGGCACTTAATAATTAAACCAGATCATACAGTCATATTGATTCAGTTTCAGTTGATTGAGTTATCTATCTAAGGAAAACCAGATTGCATAGAACCATTGACTAGAAAGCAATCCCTCAAACCAAGCAGGGTAGTAGCGAGAGAAAAAAAAAAAACTCCCTTTTAGCAGGAAGAAACCTTCTGCAGAACCATAACTACTAATATATGATGTCAAATGTTGAAGCTCTCAGTAATAAACCCCCTGGACAGTCTCCTATTTAGTCAGGCAACAAGCAAAAACATTAAGGAGTGTGACCCACAAACAATGCCTATATGGCCTAGTCAAAGTCAAGGGCAGTATCAACTAGATTTGTGACAGAATTTGAAAATTTAGGTTCAGACTTTCACCTCCTGCCTCACTGAGCTTGAGCCACTCTGCAAAACATGAAGAAAATTATGTAAAACTGTGAGCATCCTCTACAGATTTTTCAGTAAGAAGCTTCTCCAGATCCGGTGCAAGACAGACCAGCTACAGAAGATCCTTCCTGCCTAAAGCTATCAACACCTACAACACCTGTTTAAAAAAATAACATGAGGTATTGCAACATTTAATTTCCCTTTGGGGTTAATTAAATATTATTGACCTGAAAAGGAAATGGGAAACAATATGATTTAATATCTACAGAGACACAAACAAACGCTTACAGATCTAATTGCACAGGTAATGTAGTTTAAATAAATTTACCAGAATTTTTTTTTTTTTTGGGTTAGATTTATTTTTAATTCAAGGCGTACCTTTTAAGTTTCTATTGGCAAGAAATACCTAAAACCTGATTGCACAGGTCCTATGTTTTGGTCCATTTCGAGGTAAAAACCAGTGCTGCCGCAGGAGGGCGCTGCAGCAAGGAGCGCATGCTTTTCAGAGTGCAGACGGAGTTGTTTTTAGAAAAGTGCACGTCTGCGCGTGCCCGTGCAGTGATGGAGAGATTGAGCGCCAAGCAAGCTACTGTCAGACTTAAATTCAAACTTTACAATCGGATATCACTCCATTACCCCAATGTTTCATTAGTCGCTTCAGATAGCGTGACATATTGAGACGGACCGCGCATTCGGATGGCTTCATTTAGAAGATAAAAATCACAAAGCATTCACAGCTTGTTAATTACCCGACCTTCTTATTATACATCTGCCTTAAACGGAGTAAACGTATGTGTTTATGTTGGTGATAAGGAAGAAACAGACTCCTCGAAGCAAATGAAGCTTCGTCCAATTTCTTTTTTTATACCATTATCGACAGCAGCTACAGTTAGCTTAGCAACTTACCTGTTGTATTGGACCGTCTGTCCATACTGGCCTATAAATGTGCGCCTGGCTCACCCAACTAAGCGAGACTCAAGGCAAAGCAATAAACCAACAGATTATGCTTGAATATAATAGTTCGAAATATTTAACCGTCTTATCTCGGGCGTCAAGTCACGAAGAATAATGGCGGCCACCGAGTGCCAGCCTTCCAAAACAAAAGCCTGGCTACTTCCGCCGGAAGTTTCTGTATAAAATAAAAGCACCGACTTTAAATATGTTGCATTCGTTTCGGTTCTAACAAGATCAGCTCGACTAGGAGAATCAAAAATTACGATATAATACGGTTTGAATGTTTCTTTCAAACAATAAGAGAGCACACCTGACAAGGTCAAAACTCTAAAATTTGTTTAAAGGTCAATAATGGGGTTTATATACAGTGGAAATATGATATATAGCATGGAAAATACACTTAATTCCCAATCCCCTATCTAAAACAAATGATCCATCCTTTATGTACAGTTTATAGTTCTGGGATTTTCTGTTTATAATCTTGTCTTTTTTCTTTTTTTATATAATGTCATCCTTGCTTTCTGTAAATTTAAGTCTGGAGTTTCAATAATTTTATAGCAAATACTTGTTTTATTTTTGAAAATAAATTAAAATATGAAAGAATAAAGCATATTATTAATTTGTCTGTGAACTCTTTATTGTAGGCATGTCCAAAGTTGGTCCTTGAAGGAAGGTGTTCTGCAGGTTTTAGAGCTTTTCTGCTTCAGCACAGCTGATTTCTATTGATAGAGGATCAACAGGCTTTTGTTGAAATGCAATAATCAGGACCAGCTGTTTTGAAGCAGAGAAACCTCTAAAACCTGCAGGACAGCGACCCTCGAGGACCCACTTTGGACATGCCTTCTTTATAGTCTTTTTTTTGCCTGCGTTACTAAATGATCCTGCTATTTCATAATTCCTATTGTGAGAGGCCTTGGTCAATGTCTGGGACCACTGTCTAATTTAGATCAGAGTTATAATATACATATTATCTAAAGTGGTAAATACTGTAAGTGTGTAAATAAGCCGGCACACTGAGCCTGCTTGGTTGTAACTGATACTGTTGACTGCAAGGTTCCTTTATCTGCTTGAATTAAGTGAACTTGAAAGTGACTAATCAAAAATTCTGTGATGTAATGTCTAAAAGAATATTTAATAAAATAAGTTATAGTTTAAAGCTATTGAACCTGGAAACATTGTCTTTTTTATACTTTGCTTTAATAGAGACTCATCAATTTATCCATCATGGATCAGAAATAAATAATGTAAACACTTCATAGACAACAGCATACAGGATATTTGATATTCTCAAATATATGTTACTGCCTGACATATTGATAGTTAATCTCAGTTTGTTGTATTTCTCCATTAATTATTTTACAAATATTTCCCAATAAGAAAAAAATGCCGCCAAGATGGGATTTAGAAAAAGAAAGAATATTTTTATCTATTTCCACCCATTATCCCATAACATAAAATGAAGTTAATCTTTTAATCATATGATAATATTTTCAAGTTTTAGGTTCCATAACTTAAAAGGCCCTCTGAAGTCAGAATTCAAGTTGGAAAGTTTTTTTTACCAATGTACCATGCAAACTCCTTTTGTGAATACATTTACAACAGTTTGTAAGAGTACAAATATTCTGATAAATTGATCAGTAAAGCTTATAATTCTAACAAAAGTTTGTTTTGTCATGAAACAAACTGATTAGGTGTTACTTTCAGTTTTTCAACACTGGGTCTTTTCTGCATAAATAGCCTCTCGTTTTTGTTCCTGGTTTTAATTTATCCTGGGAGTTACAATCCTTTGGAGCATTCAAAGATAAATACATATTTAAACAGCTTATATTTTTAACGCATAGAACTTACTACGTTTAGATGGCATTTGATTTGTTTTCTAGTTTCCCTTTTGGTGACGACAAAAACAAACATAAAAAAATGCTTTATCATTTGAAAATCAAAATACATGTTTCAAGTTTTTGGTTTATATTTGAAGTGTGTTGAACTAGGCACTAGGCCCATGTCAAAATTCTTAGTCAAATGTTATATTTTCACATTGCCAAAATGCTAATTTCTACTTAACTTTCATAACCGTAAAATAAAACTTTTTCTTTTCCATGTACTAAATCCTGACCTATGATTTTATTCTGTGGTAGTGAAGTATTTATTTAATTGTGGCTATAATTGGTCGTAAAATAATGAAATGTCACATGAAAATTTAAATCTATAAATATCATTCCCTGAAAATGTTGTTTTGCTGCCAGTACACTAATAAAACATGATAGGCTGTAAATTAAACCAAATTAGCTCTGTCTGATGCTGTATTGCAAAATGCAATTTACTCAAACCATAGTACAGTTGTTACCAAAGTGGATTACTATTACATTTTTTGTGTCATCTCAGCAAGTCATTTAGATTTGGCAAACTTTTTACACTGGATGCCCTTTGTGGGGCTCCCAGGATTTGAACTCTGGTCATCTGCATTGCAGTGAAGCACAAACCACTTCACCATGGAGTATTATAAATATAGATAAATTATTGGGATCAAATTAAAAATGGGTGATGCATGGTGCAAAATATAACTATTCTATACCTAAAAATAGAAGGTATAAAATATCAACGTAATGAAGCAGTCATCTTGCTCCTTTGGCACAGGCTCAGTTTGGCTTTTAGCTTAAAATACATTTATTTAAAATCTGTCCTGCTTTAACTTCATTGTGTTTTCGTTTACCTACAATTAAAATCTGTTTTAGGAGAATTTTTTATCCCAGTGTTGCTTTGGATTACATTTGTCTCAGAAGGAAAAGGTAATCAGATTGCATTCTGTTTATTCTAATTATGTTTAACTGCAATTTAAGCATTCAAATACTTTTTGAAAATGTCAACTAACACGGGCTGGGTGATACATGATTCTGGGTTAGAGGAAAACACTGAAGGAAGAGCCAGTGATATTTTATTTAACATTTCGACCATATTTGATCCTGACCTTGGGCTTGCCTTCTTATCCCTGAAATTCAAACCTTGATCTGGATTTTCCCTTATCAACTTAGATTTAATTAAATGTAACATTGCCACCTAGTGGACAAGTACTAGTACTTCACATTCAACTTGAATCAATAATAAAAAAAAATTAAAAAACAGATTATTTTCTGTAGCCAAAAGAAAGCCAAAGTCACACCAGTGTTACATGAACTGCAATATGAAAACCATGACTCTACAACATTTGGATTTTAATTAAGTCTGTCGCTGAAACTGTTGGAAACATTAAATGTTTTTTGAAGACATTCAAAAGTGTAACAAAATATCTTAAACATCACACACACAAATACACAAAGAGTTACAAAATCAAAACTTTTGAATATCTTTGAAGATAGTAAAAGGCTTTCTAGGTTTTTAACCTTATCCAAAACATTGCACTATATAACAAACTACATGTTACTGGACTGTTATGGAAATAAATCCCGTGTATTTTTATTGAAATACCAACCAGTCCCTGGAGATTGGGCTATATAGCCTGCGGTCTGCAGAGATTCTTTGCCTGTTGATTCATAGAGATCTGTCGACATTGGTCATGTTTGTAACTGGCACTTCCTCCAGCCTACGGCCTGCTCTTTTGTGATGAGAACAATCCCTCCTTATGCTCCTCACTGAGCTCATCCGTTCATCTATTTGTCTGCCTCTATCTCCCTCACTTTGCCTTGCTGTGCCTGTCCTGTCTCTCGCTCCCGGACTCTGACACATAAAGTACAAGAGCACTCACACTCTAAGAGTCATGCTCTCATGACTGAAACTGATTGACTTCTTAACTGAGGCATTAAAAACCTCCCAACACACTTGCAGCGGCTGAGGAGCGGCAATAGTTCACTGTTCAACAGCTTCGAAGCACAATGACCAAATTCAAAGGGCCTCTGGCCATGGCTATCTGCCAGCTGCTCAGATCTTTGATTCAGAAAGTCAGGGATTTGTTGAACCAATTAGAGTGTTGTTTGTGACCAGTAGGTCCATAATTCCTGATGGATAACAGATCTCCACAATGTCAACAACAAGTACAAGATAAGTTGTACCAGCCCCCATTTTTCTTGTTGTTATTACTTTTTACAGAACACTTTCCAAAGATGTCGGCATATGAGCTATTTGGACTTCATGTGCAGCTATAGAGATATGAAAACATAATCACTTCAACATCATGACTCTTCCAGTTTAAAATAACAGTGTCTGACTTGTGTGGCATTGTGCTGATGTGAAGCCTGCTGATAAGCTCCAAAATGAGACCCAACACCACCCTGAGAAACATTAAAGTGGCTTTTAACTTCTCCAAACCAACCGGCTAAGAGCTGCTGTTCACCAGTCAAGACACCTTCGTGTTTTTACTTCAGCATCCAGTTTCGGAGCTGCTCTTGAGTCCTGTCTGGACCCAAAAGCAGGGGGGGAACTTTGCCAACACGCCTTTCCTTTACATCAGCTCTCTCTCATCCAGTTTCTCTGGTGCTTGAGCAGAAAAAGTGACAGACCACACTGATTTTTCCACGCTTTATCACGCTTCATCCACTCTCATGTTCAGAAACTGCCTCCCCCGTTGGCTGGCTGTCAGCGGCGTGGGTGACTGTTTGAAGTGGGATGGAGACAGACACAGTTGGGATCATATCAGGAGATGCGGTTTGGCCGTTTGAAGTGCTGCACGCCAGCAGCCTTCTCCTAGACTTCACCTATAGAAAACATTCAGAAAATTAACATAAAAAGATACAAGAAGCGCAAATGGCAGATGATCGTAAAAGTGGGCTCGATATTACCAGGGCTCCAAATACCACCTAAATATTTAATGAGCTGTCAAACTTACAAGCCTTGTCTTCCTGAAAAATGCTCTTTAAAATGTGGGCAGATAATCTCATGTGATTTGGTAGAAGTGGAGATGCAAACACATAAAATCTATGTGGGAGGAAATTCAGCATCCGGAATTTCCTTTTAAAGAAAACTTTGAGGCTTTTAAAACCAAAAGGCAATTAACCGATTTTACTCTACAATCTGAGGTTAAACAGTTTGTTCCATGTAATCTGCCTTCAATTTACCTCGGAAGTTAAAAACAAATCTGAGAATGAAATCGCATTTAACATAACCATGTCTTCTTTATTTTGTACGTTCAAGCTTTAAAAGTATGTTCACAAATAGAGGTTATGCATTAATGAATATGATGAAACCTATTATTACATTTACCACTACCTTTTACAGGCTGCACCAAAGACCTGATACCTAAACACTGGATCTAGATAAGATGTTAGTATTGCATAGTATCGATACTCAAGACAAATCTTTTTTTTGCATATTTTTGCTGTGGACGATTTTAGATTTCTAGGTTTTTATTTTGCATAATTATTTAGCAAGAAAGCTTGTTCCATGGTTAGACTTTCTTTCATGCCTTTAATATTTTTGCCGTTTTTAATCTCAGCCGTATTAAGAATGGTATCAAGTATCAAATATCTCTTTGATATGGATGTTGAGCTTTTTTTTTTTAGCATTTTAGCATAATGGAAAACCTGATTTAAAGCTGATATTTTAACCCTGAAACACTGTTTCGTAAACACCATCTATCTGCTGATCAAAATGATGAAATAAACGAGTAATAATACCATATGGTATAATTACTACTTTGCTAACAGCAATTTTTTTTTGTAGAGGAAATAAGATACTTTAAAGCATTTGAAAGCATTATAAAAAAACCTAAAATTGTCATGGAACAAATACAAATAAAAATAAAAATCCAAACAAACTGCTGATTAAGGATCTGTAAAAGTCCTTATTTCTATTTCCAAGTTGCATTTTAAAATGTACATATATGCTTTGAGGAATAGTTATAATCCCCTTCAGCTTTTTCGACCACAAACATAGAAGAGAATCATGTAAACATTAAATAGTTCTTCTTACCTGCCAAACTATCAGCACAACACAGGCTATGAACGGTATTATCACCAAAAGCAAGGGGCTTCTCTTTAACCAGCTGTGTTTACGACTCTTCTCCTGACCTTCTGCGAAAAGAGAATCATTGCAGCTGTAATGAAATATGCTTAGACACGGGAAAAATGATAGTGGGTAAGCATGACATCATGCTTATTGAACAACATTCAATCAATAACTGTATATATTTTTTTTTCTTTGGGATTTTTCAAATGTCTGCTTAAATAAAACTGTTTAGAAATCCAGATGAAAGATGTACCTGGTGTTTGTTGATGATTAAGGCAAGGTGGTGGCTTGCATGATAAGGTTGATGTTCCATGCGTTGCAACATGTAAGAGGTCTTGGATGTAGTCAAAGTAAAGTCCAGAAAGTAAGCTCTTTTCTTGGTAGTGACACTGGAAGACTTGCATTGCTGTTTCCTGGGGTGATCAGCCAAAAAAAAAAAAAAGAAACATCCTCAAATTGTTCACTAATGCAATTAAATGTGCAAAGCAATCCCTAAACCTTTGCTTTGTCTTGACTTCAGAGATGCCTCTCAGAATAAAAGTCATTTGAAATCTTTTTAACCTAATAAGTAAAACATCACATTTGCATTTAAAGGGCATGCAGTGCGTGAAGCTCCTTGTTACCCACCAGCTCTTCGTGTTCAAAGGTGAAGCGTAAACTCTTCAGCATTGCAATGAAGACAATTATGTTATCTTTGTTGGAAGACATGGAACCAAACATACTGGCCAGCTTTCGAAGACTTTGCTCCAAAGGATAGATATTTAGAACCACCCAGCACGTGCCGGCCTGTCATGCACGCAAACAATCAGAAAACCTTCTCAGTTATCATAAAATTCCTCTTTTCTCATCTGTTTGTTATACGTACCACCTCTTTGGGAATATAACTAACAGGAATCTCATAATCAGAGGGGATATTCTGCTTCTGCAGTGGAAATAAAGAAAGAAAAGAAAAGCATTAGAGTCAATTCAGAAAGGTATGCTTTCTGTGTGTTATGAACAGCAAGATAATACTCTCACCAACACGGACAGCTTGTTCACATCATCAGTGATTGGCGTTCCAAATTTCCCAGAACAGAGATGGAAACTTGAAAAAAGACCCCAGAGGACACAAGTTGTGCTGATGATCTAAATCCAGAATATTGATACCAAAGATTATTGTCTCACCCCAGATTAGATGACATCAACATACATATATAGTTGGGTTGTATTTACAGTAGAAAGTGACTATCAGCTTGCACTGAAGATGATACCTTGTGGAGGGCAAGGGCTCTTTACCAGGGGTGCTATTCTTCCAGGGTTTTGCACAGTAGGAAAAAAAATGTCTGCAGAAGTTTGCTTAGTGTTTGATCATTCAAACACCTATACAAACTTTTTTTTTTTTTTACGTTTGAATTCTGTAATACTGAATTTAAAATCGTCTGATCTCATTGTTCTGCACTACTTTTAGGCTCCAAGAGAGACCTTTTTGTTGTAAACAAATTTAACTTGTTTTGATTTTTTTTTTTTTTTATCACCCAGTAAATTCTTCTGTTTGTTATACTATTCTATCAGATTTAGTTTTTTTCTTTTTATTATAATAGCATTTTAAAGCAAGTTGATTAGTTTGATCTTTACAGCTCCCGTGATGTCAGTAGTCTGAATTAGACTTCATTTCCTATATTTTAATGTACTTTTAAAACCTTTGTATTATTTAAAATCTCGACATCTGTATCCACTATTGCAAAAAAAAAAAAAAAATGGTCTAAAGATTTAGATTCTTTTTTTTTTTAAACAAAGAATAATTAGCATTAGTAGCACCTGAAAGTGTAGAAATTCCAATATTTCTGTGGCTTTAACCGGTACCAAATCAACCCTTTTTTAAAGCTAATTGGCTTTCAAAACAGTCATTAAGATATTTCATATTCATATATATGAAAAACTGGGGTGACAGTGGTGTTGGATACAAGAGTTTGCCCTGCAACCAGAGGGTTGTCAGTTCAAGCTCTGGTTTTCTTTGTTGTTGTGTCCTTGGGCAAGACACTTGACCCAAATGGACTACTAATGGTGGTCACAGGGCAGCCTGGCTTCTGTCAGTGAGTCAGCTGTGGGGCAGCTGTGGCCAGTGTAGCTTGCAACCGTAAGTGTGTGAGTGAATTGGTGAAAAACTGCAGTGTAAATATAAATGTGTCAAATATTAAATCCTTAAAAGGAGAATATTACAAACACAAGAAGCAGGGTATTTTGTTTTGTAAAGCTGTCAGATTAAGTCCTACATAAACTTTAACTTATTATTTTTGCAAAAAAGTTTTAAAATGTTAATAGGTTGAACTGATTACAGCTGATCCACATTGATTATTTGGTTGATTTCTTTTTATAGAACATAAAAGAATATTTGTACAATTTTTAATTTAGATAATCAAAGTATCAAAGTAGATATATAATCAGAATCATTATTTAGGATCCTATTTTTTAAGCAACTTTCTTGAGAAAAAAATAACTGCAAACACAAATAAAATATTTACATTACTGCATGCAGCAACCATTAAGTCCTTAGAGTGGAAAATTATCTCCTGATGGGAGCATTTTGTATTATGACCATGTCTTGTTTTCCCTCTAGGAAGGGCATTTTCCTGCTGTGCTGTTAAAATATCTCACATTTCTATTAGTTTGTCCACATGTTTTTATTTAAAAAGGGTCGGTTTCTGCAAAACCATTAGTAGTTGAAACAGCTGTGTACGAATATAGAAGAGACTGTTATCTTATATGTCAAGCGCCCAGCATACAGTTAGACATTCTGAGCAAAATAGCATTTAAAATGTAAAGGATGTACTTACTTTCTTCCTCATATGGAGCAAAGGTTAAAGGTATCTTAACTCCAGCACATGAAATCCAGCCTTTTGTCTTTAAAAAGAGAACTTAGATCTCTGTGCATGTTTGCATGCATGTAGATGATGTTCAAATGTGTAGTGAAACCCGAGGATTGGCCAGCAGTCTGCTTTGACTTCAGACAAACTGGTGGGGTCTTTTGACGTGGGGGAGAGGCCGCCTACAAGCTGAGTCATTATGTCACGCTCTGACGCTGTCTGAGACTTTTCCATAAACTCCCACGTATCAATTTGGTCATCGGGAGAAGTGGGTGCTTGTTCTCCTGTAAGAATATTTCACTTGGAATATGTCAGGGTTATTCCCCAAGCTGTTGTTTGTAGAAGTGAGAACAGAATGATGAAGATTGCAGTAGATGTTCCTCCATGCTATTTCTTGCTTTATTTAATCATGTAAACTTTCTTTCTTTCTTTTTTTTTTTAGAGGATTTGTCTGTTCTATTTTTTGTGTGCATCTGCAAATGTTTTGCAGCATAACCTGCTCCTGATACTCCCCAGTAAGTGGACCCACGTAAAAGCCATTATCCATAATTGATTTCCATTATCAAATCAATAGCTGTCACAAGAGAGAGATTCAGGAAATGAGGAAAGCAAATGATAACCAAACTCTTTTATTTCCTGAGCACAGTACACTTTGTTTGCTCGCCCTCATGTCGGGGTTATCCCTGTGGGACAGTAGACGCTAATGTCAGGTTAATTATTCATTAATTAAGCTGTGCAGTAGATTAGCAGCCTTAGTCTTTGCTAATGGGTTTACAGAAAGATCAGCTTCATTGATAATAATCAGAAGGACAGTTCAAAGGTTTGAAACAATTCAAAGTGCCAGTAATAAAATGTACCTTTTCACTTAAAGACAGCTTAATGCTGCAATAAGTTAGAAAAAAAACCTGTAAAGTTCCCTTAGAAGTTATATGATTATCTTGATACTTTGCAGTATTATAACTAGGGCTGAAACAATGAATCGGATAAATCATGATTAATCGATTTTTGAAATAATCTTTCACTAATTTATAATCAATTAATGTTAAAAAAGAGATTGTAAAACATGCCTTAAGCTGACAAAGCAACATACCGTAGTAAGAGCAGTAATTATACCAAGATTGCCCTTTTTTTTTTTTTTTTTTATATTTTGCATTTAAGATAAAAATCTTTTTTTTAACCATCAATGAGCTCTATCCAGAACTCAAGTGGAAAAGTTTTACACTGGAAAAACGATCTAAAAATAAGTTAAAAAGTTCTTAAATGAAGTGTATTTACCCTTAATTTGAGTAGGCAAATGAGATACTTTGCCAATGGAATTAGTATTTTTACTCTTAAAATAAGATAATTAGATAAATATGCACTTGAAATAAGACAATGTAATTGTGTTTTCTTATTTTAAGTGTTAATATTCTTGTTCTATTGGCAAAATGTCTCTTTTACCTCCTCAATCCAAGAACAAATGCACTAATTTTAAGAAAAATAACTTATCTAGATTTAGATTTTTTCCAGTGTAGTTTCACCTGGTTCAATTACGTAAAAAGTCTTCTTTTTCAATTATTAATCGATAAATTGAAAAGATAATCGACATATTAATCGATTTGCAAAATAATTGTTAGTTCCAGCTCTAATATACCTTATACTGTAATAGTGAAAATAAACAGTCCCCTCAATAAGAAGCACCTCTCGAATTAAGTATGGCTTCCAGTGTCTGGATGGCAGCAGGAGTTATAAGCATATGGCAAATGCAGTTTAATTCATTTTGGACATTAATGACTTTTTGTTCACATCTGATAACATTTTTTAGCAGTAAGTTAATTAAGTTGACTTTTATGCTGGAGAACATCATTATAAAAGGTGACAGAAATAAAGTTGCAGAATTTGGCTGAAAATCCAGTATTATTACAGCAGCATAACTAGATGCTACAGGCTGTCAAAAAGCATCACAAGAATGCTTTAAGGGTTCTCAGGATGTTTTTTCCCATGTTGTAAATGAAAGAGAGAAAATGATGAAAATGTTTAATAAATACCTGCAAAAATAGAGCATTTTTCCTGTAACTAAAGTGTTACCTAAATTATAACTATATATATCCTATAGTATTATTTATTTAGAATGATATGAATAAAATTCCTAAAACAGACAAACTTGTTTTTTCACTGCAGCACAGTGACCCACTATTGGACGTTTCCAGACTTCCTTTAAGAGTCCTAAGATTATATAAATATTTTCAAAGAATGTTGCTTTCCCACTGGCGATTATTAATCACATCAACAAAGAGTCTGCCAGCTATAAGCAATGCTGCCGGTGTTTTATTAGGTATACCGGGGAATCCACCTTATGGAAAATCATATTAATGTTCGTTTGATTTAGATCACAATGAAAAATACTATTTGAACAAATTCCCAAAGCATGTCGAGGAAAAAGTAGAATTTTGCACAACTTTATATGGAAAGAGATAAAAGTAGTTTAGCTTACAATAAAGAATAACCCTCTTAACCCAAAATGATCTCAAGTGGTTGAATCCTTGTCTGGTTTGGGGGAATTCACTCTCTGGAATTTTATCTAAATATTGAGTTTTAAGGTGAGTAGTCATAACAAGGCCTTAGCTAATCAGTTAATAATTAGTCAAGAACTATTTTATGGTAGAGGGTTAAAAATAAACTATTTAAATAAAAAAAAAAATTCTTAAAATGTCAGAGATATGTTTTAGTTCCAGTAATAAATCCCTTTAATCAAATTAACTGCCTCATGACTGAGGCTGTTTTGACATTCAACTGTTTTAGCCATGTAATCATTCCTCTGAGTGAATAGACGGGTTCACATTTAATTCTGAAATGCATCGGTAATAAGGATTTATCTGATATCTTACCTTAATAAAATTATCACTAGTGTGATTGGAGTGAACCAGACTGAGACTCAGAAGAAGTTAACATGTTTTATTAATTGATTAATTGATTGAGAATCGTTGACCCTTTTAGTTTGTTGTCTAAAGCCATGATTGTTACAAGAAGGCTCCAAGAAGTTGCTGCCTTAGCGAGATGACAGCTTGGCTAAATTACTACCTCAAACAAAAATAACAATCAGAACTAATTTTACATTTTCTCTTGCTTTTTTTTTTTTTTTTAGCCAGTGAAGGTTAAGCTGTGTGTGCACCACAATATCACAGCTGCAAAACAAGGTGAACTAATGACTATAAACACAATATTTCATGCCAGCTTTACCAGTTGGAGACACATCTATACTGGTAAGGTGGGAAGAATAAGAAAAAAAAGAAAAGCAGCAAATTCAGGGGAGAGAAGAGAGGCATTAGTGTGTCCTGACAACAGAAAAACAAAATGTGTTGACATTCCCTGTACAAGGTCTATCTAGGCTCACAGGTTTAAACATGCCAGTTTGTACCTGGTTATATGGATGTTGCAACTGGGTATGGGTCTCTTTAAACTTCCCTAACCTGACTTCAAATAGACTGGGGCTTTAAACTCAATTTCTTGTCTTAATGTTAAATTACAGCAGCCTGCGGTGTAAAAGCAAATAGAAAAATGATTGCAAAACAAAACTAAGACTAGCACACACAGAAATAGATATAAAAAAGCATGCAACAGCTAAATTTCACAATAGAGGAACATTGCTGTCACAGTTGAGCTAGTTTCTATGCTCCTTTTTGTGTTTGCAAACTAAATGAACTTTTTTAATACGCTGTGCTTTCATGTATTTGCAGGGTGTTTCCACCCCTCAGCCCCCATATTAAAGGAAATCCCAGCCCTTTATGAAATCTCAAAATGGTTTCATAACTACAATAAAAATTCCTCATTCTGCATTCTTGATGCTCGTGGTACAGAAGAGTAGGTTCTTATTTTCTCGATCCCAGCAGGGAAATATGACCTGCATCTGATCCAATAAGATCAAATCTAAAAAAGTTACTCAAAACTAAATTAAAAGCAGCATTTTTTTGTTTTTGTCAAATTTACTACATGATTCTTGTCTTTGAGGCTTTTATCATATTCGAGCTAAAAACAGTACCACCTAAAGTGCAGATTTTTTTTGCAACAATAGATCCGCTGTGCTCGACAGATAAAGTGTGGCATCGCAGCACAAACTTGTCATGTGGATTTTATCCACATGTCACTGAAATGATTAGATCTGAATGCCACAGTGTGGCTGTTAGAGAAGTGAAAAAATGACGGACAGCACACTCCGTCATTTAAAGTAGGCCAAGTCTAATAATAACCCAGACCGCCTAGGTCCCAGCAAAACAAAAACATGGAGGCAACACACCAGAGAACTCAAGGTGAGAGACAAACATTACTAATGATATAAAACACAACTTTATTCTTAGATATGGCTGCATGGAGCTAAAATGCTTTTAACATTCACTCTAGCAAGAGTTATTTTAACAAACTGCATGCCACAAGCAAACAAGCTATAGGTATGTGTGTCTTAAAACATGTCATATTTAAAGCTCTTTCTTATAATATTTTACCACTATGTAGAAATGGACGACCTTGAACAGGAAGACATTAACGAAGAGCTGTTTGAGTTTGCCATCTTGGAGAGCATTCAGGAGGCCTACAAGCTGCAACGTTCAGGGTCAGCAGATCGGTATGGAAAATCGAATTATGCATGAAAGTCATTATTACTGATGAAGGTTTTTCTGAGCAATACGTGTTGAAGTAAAATCGTGTTTGTTCACCAGGAAACAACCAAACAGTGAAAACTTTAAGAACATAATGATGGCTATTAACAAAGGTAAAAGAAAAAACAACAATACATCCATTGAACTCTTTCTGATTGTGCAACGTTACAAACATGAATGTTAATGCTTTTATCCTGTTAAAAAAGCACATTCTAGTTCTGTGCAGACTTTGATTGGACCATTATCATATTCTATTAAATTTACTCTACCGTTAAATAAAAAAAAAGCCTCCTTATTCTGACTGAAGAAAAGCCTCAGCATGACGCTGCCATCACCATGTATCACTTTCTGGATATCTATTGGTATTGGTTTTGAAGAGAAATGGTCGTAGTGGCTTTTATCTCACGATTATCAAAAGAAAGGAGGCAGAACACGACAATTTTTTTGTAAATAAATTCTTAACATTTTCTTCTCACATTATAATTGTCAACTCCATTAAATTGGAGTTTAATATAAAATTGTAAAAAAATAAATAAATCAAGCTTCCTGGTTGAAACATGAAAAAGTTTGCAACGGTTTAAGGTATATGAACATATTCATAATATTACTATAATGCTACCACAATGGTGATTTTTATTTCAGTGCATAAAGATTTAATATATTCACACTCTTGAATATTGCAAATATTATCCTTTGGATCACAGGTGATGTGGTTGCACTGCAGGCACTGTCCTGCTGTGTTTCTGCCTTCAGAGAGAGTGACAGCAGGGGCTGGCTGCCTCTGCATGCAGCAGCTGTACTACCAAAGACAGAAATGCTGCATGTGGTGCTGCAGGGTAAGAAAGCAAACCAGGGGGTAACTGAGCGGTTTAGCTGAATGTTAGATCTCTATACCCCCTCTTTATTTATTCTTCATTCCTACAGTGATGCTATCCATAGACATGACCCTGGAAGAGCAAACGAAGGATGGGGAAACAGCTCTGACGCTGGCAACAAAGGCTGGCTGGGTGGAAAACATTAAGTTGCTGCTGCAGCACGGAGCCTCTCCACACAACACGAACAGAAGGAATGAATCTCCTCTGCTCATCGGTAACACAAAATCCCACTGCTAAAACAGACAAGACAGGTAGTCAGTGAGTGAAGGGAATAGAACAAAAAAATAGCCTTAATATTTGTGATAAAGTATTTAGTAAGAGTTAAAAAAGTGTATTGGTGAGTGAAGAGTACTGGGACCAATGGTTAATATAAAAAGATAAAACTCTCTTAATCAGTTCTTGAACATTGAGCTTTACTACTATCCTATTAGCCTCATTTTAAACATTTCTTTTTGCCATGGTCTCTAGGATTTTTCTTTTCAGAGATATGTTAAAATAACATAGCCAGATAAAAAAAAAGAAATCTCCAAAAACAAAAATAGGATTTTTCCTAATTTCTATTTAGAAATTATGCAGGTGCAATAATAAATTATTTTTCATATATTAATCCACGATGAACTCTTCAATTGAATGTTTTTATGCTTTGTAACCCTTGTAAAAATGAGATGTTATCACTCTCTGTAATTTAGTTTAGAAAGAAAGCACCTCTACTGGACTTAATAGAATATCTGTTTAATAAAAACGATAGTTGTTTACTGAAATAAATGTCACATGACCAGGATTTTGATACACTCATTGCTTCGTTGAATACTGTAATCAACAAATTTCTACTTAAATGCCAAAAAAATAAAAATAAACAACAATATTGAACTGTATCTGTAAGCTATTTCTTATTTGTGCGATAACGTAGGCATAATTTTTTTCTTTCTAAGATCAAGAGAGTATCATTTAATTTTGTCAAAGTTTTAGTCATTTGTAAAAAAAAAAAAAAAAAAGAAACTTGATTTTTAATCTCACATCTTGTGTTTTGTTCATGTTGTAGCAGTGAGACAGGGTTCATATGACAGCGTTTATTCCCTCATCATGGGCGGGGCCTTCGTGGAACAGGTGTGTCTCACAAAATGGACAGCAACTCATGAAGCTGCAAAGGTGAGCGGAGCTACAATCCAGACTTTTCTATAGAGTCAATCAAACTCACTACACATACAGAACAAACTACATTAGGACATTTCATTTTTCTAAAAGGAATTTATAAAACATACATGTTCTTGTTTTTATTGGACACTTTTAATCAAAAGTATATATTGCTGTATAGAAGGCAATATTTTCTATAATAAACCCTTTTTAAACAGGTGTGTTCTCTTGTTTTTCAGGTAGGTTGTCCCGCTATTCTGACTCTGCTGCTTCGTTATGGGGCTAAAGTTTCTGTCAGAGACAGTCATGGAGTAACTGCTATGGGAATTGCAGCTGAGCACGGCAAGACTGAAGCCTTAGAAATTCTTATAAAGCATGGTAAAACCTCAAAATACTGCTGTTCAATTCTTTAATGTGCATATTATCCAACTTTATATAATTTCTTTATTTTTTTTACCATATTTTTGTAATTTTTCTGCCCTCCACCAGGTGGGGATGTTAATGTCCGGGCCAGCAATGGGGACACAGTCCTCTATGATGCATCTGGGTCAGGGAACCTGGACTGTGTCAAGCTGCTTCTGCTGCACGGAGCCAACCCAAACGTTGCCAGCTACGCCTGTCAGCTCCCCATCCACAGAGCTGCGTATGAGGGGCACATTCTGTGAGTTCTGCTCCATGCAGCGGTGAAACACCAGGCATCATTCTGATGCATTAGATGTGAAATCATACACAGTTCATAATATTTCACCAGATTCGGTTCTTGGAATAAAGACTTGCTCAAGATTAAATACAATTACTACTCATTTTTTTTGCATCACAACACGCAAACAACAGAGTCAAAGTTCTGCAGAACAGAGATCCATATAATCTTCACAAAGGGCCCTTTGTTTAATATAATTTCTCAGTTTCTGAATAACACTGTAACTCTAACCACTGACTAATTCCTGTTTAGTGTTTTTCACTTTGTTGCTTCCTCTTTTTTTTTCTCCCATAGAGTCCTACGCACTCTTATCCCTGTCACCACAAAGAGAGCGATCCGTCTCTCAGGCCAGAGCCCTGTCCACTCTGCTGCAGACGGGGGACAGACTGAATGCCTCAAACTTCTCATCCAGAAGGGTTTTGACATAAATGCTCAGCTAGATAAACACATCTCTGGTAGGTGCGACCACATAAGTAAATGTTTGCATCACCACGTTCATCAGATACAGTCTGAGATTAGATGACATCAGATATTCATGTAAATTGCTTATGTCTTTTTGACAGTGGGTTATAGACTTGATTAAGAGGTGGACCAGTTCAACTAAATGACTAAGTTTTGCATTTTACATTCAGCTCATGATTACATTCCACCTTGAGTTGGTTTATTACATAAAAAAAATGAAATCCATGTATAGTCTGGTCTGATTACATACAAAAGAAAATGTTTTTTAAGAGAGGTGAAAACTTTTAAAAAGCGCTACATTGGTGCTCTACGGAAGAGGATTAGGGCCACTGAAAAAAATTAAAAAATTAACTGATATTTAAAATTAAATTTCAATTTGATATGGGGAAAAAGTCAGAATTCAGAGAAAAGAGTCAGAATTCTGAGAAAAAAAGTCAGAATTCTAACTTTTTTCCCCATATTAAACTGAATTACAATTTAAAAATCAGTTAACTTTTTTATTTATTTTTTTTTCTCTGCTGTGAATTCCTCTTAACCCACTGTTCTGCCTCCAGCCGTGTCTTCACCTATAAGATGAAGCTGTAAATTAAAGTCTTCTTGACGCTACTCCCTGTGTGACTATGTCTGCACGGGCCAATCAGGGAGAGGCTTACAGAAGAGCTTTGTCTCCACCCGTCTGTCAAAACACATTTAGGCTGAATCCCAAACTGCCCCCTAACCACTAACCCTTAACTAGCAAATGTCACTCCCAATGAAGTCTTACTCGCAGCTGTGGAAGGCTTGATTGAAGGTGTGTGGTATAAACGAGAATGGGACAGCTGCTTCCCTCCAACGGATGGGATGGCAACACAGTGACACCCAGTGTGAGTGGCTGTACCTCTGTGGCTCAGGGTGACATAGAATCAAACATTTGCCCCTTTCTTAAAACAAATGTGTATGGTCAAATAAATCTATTTCAAAGAGGACCTTCCATTTTGCAATTAATTCTGTTTTTTTTTTTCATATAGCCTACCTAACTTGTGATTTTGTGTCAGCATTTTGAAGATGCAGCAAACCAACATTCCTCCAACTTACATTTGGAGGAATGTGTTCCTTACGTCACTATTTCGCTGTAAAACCTGTTGCCAAATTCCAGCGAGCATGCACTGATGCAGACTCACTATTTAAGGGCTAAACGGTCAACCCTACCCACTATGTGGTTTGGGATGGCACTTAATGTGGCGGACCCTCCGCAGGAACGTCCAAAGAGAGGGTTAGTGTTTAGGGGCCGGTTTGGGCTTTTGTTTTGCATGGGGAGCAAATCAGCTTGAGGGCAGAGGCACCTTTGAGAGTGCAGGTGTCCACAAGCGAGGGCACCATAGAGCTATTTTCTCCTCCCAAAGATGCAGTTCCTTGCAAGTATGACATGTTCTTTGAGATTTTGACATAAATGTGAAGCAATGGTAGTAAGTCTGAACTCTCCATAAGGTAGTTTTAACTCTTCATGTAGGGTGGCGGTTTGTTAGGTCTCAAAGTTACTGCTCTCAGGTTTTTTTCCTCCTCACCTTCACTGCATAATCTACCACAGGGATCTTCATCTTATAAGATCCCATTATAGTAGGAGACAATATTATCACTTCTCTTTGGCAGCTACTGTTTTTGTATTGATGTCCAGTTTTGGGCTACCATACATCACACTCACAATTCCCAATGACCTTTTAAAATCTTACAGAGAATTATGGCGACCTGAGGAAGACCGCTTTGTACTTTGCTGTTTCCAACGGCGACATCACCTGTGCTGAAACCTTGCTGAAGGCTGGAGCAAGAACAGACCTAGACCCTCTACATTGCATCTTGGTTGCTGTACGGGCAGAGAGGTCTGCAGGATGTATTTAGCGTGTTTTTCCTGATGTACATTTAATGCTGGTTTCCCTAAAACGAGCCACTGTGTCCAGGTATGAGATGGTGAAGCTGCTGCTGTCCTACGGAGCTGATGTGAACTGTTATTTCCGAGTGATCAACAACACGGTGTTCCCCACCGCCCTTCACTACTGTCTCAGAGACCCCGCCATGTTACGACTGCTGCTCAACAGCGGCTATCAGGCTCACAAGCACGTATTCTGACCGATCCTCAAAATGTTTAAATTATGAAATGTATACAAAATATAAACAGGTTTTCCCTCCCATGCTTCCTCTAGGTGCTTTGAGTGTTGCCATAATAAAAGTGAAGATATGGACAGTACCTGGACTGACCTCCACAACCAGGCCTACAAGATTTACTGTCAGCCTAATGTGACATCAGTATGAATTGACACACATGCATCCTTATCTTCTCGCTACAGTGGGGAAAATAAAAGTTCCTGATCTTTTTTTTTGTTCAGTTCTGTGAGTTTGTGTCGGTGTCCTGGCTTGCTCATCTGGCAGGCAGTGTTGTAAGGATCCTTCTGGACTATGTGAGCCACATCAGCATCTGTTTCAACCTGCAACGCATCCTGGAGAGGACTCCACAGTGGGAAGAGATTTCTACTATACTGAGTAAATCTGAACACATGACACCGATTTGATTTGATATACTGGATAGATGGAGTGAGATTAATTTTAACTTTATCCCAGGCGAGCCCCGTTCCCTGCAGCATTTGTGTCGACTCGCAGTCAGAAGTAGAATGGACACCAGGATACTGAACGACCAAGAAGCCATGGCTGCTGTTCCTTTCCCTCCCAGACTGATCAGCTACTTGACCTACAGAGAAGATCACCTGTATGGGGGACTCCAGTGATGAGAAGGTTTAATCTGCAGACACTTGTTCAATATTTTGTAAATGTATGTGTGTACTTTGTGCAGTTTTTTTTTCCCATTTTAAACATGTATATTTATCCTCTTTACCAAACTGTTGCTTCTTTAAGTGTACAGCTTGGCAGAGAGCTGAAAAATGCTTCCATGGTGAATTAAAAAAGTTGATATCTGATGAATCTGGGTTTCATGTTTTACTAACTGGATAACTGCAATGCTATTTGCCTAAGAACGTAGTTAAACAAGTGAAACAGATTTTGAGAAATAAGAAATCAGTTAAAACTGCTTATATTGCAACCAATATGTACCTTTCAGCTTTTCACACAGTAAAGAAAAATCAGGAAATGGAGAATCCTTCTGTTATATCCCTACATAAAATTTTGAGTTTTTTTTTTTTTTTTTGCAGGAACACCTGATAATAGGGGATTGGAAGATTCATAAGGCTGCATTATATTATTGCAACATTAATTCAAAATAAAACTTGAACAAAATCAAAACCATGAAACTTTTAAAATCAGTTTCAAGAACAACATCCATTAGCAATTAATGAAAAAAAAAGTTCTGTTTTAATTTGTACAGAAACAATAATGGACAAAAAAATATATATATATATATATCTTTGATATGACTTGAAATGACTTTATAAGTATTTTACACAAAGGACTAGACAAGTCTGCAACATGAACTATCCAAACAGACTTCTTACAAAATGCGTTTTTTTTTTTCTACATTTGTAAAATTGGTTTATTAGAGCCTCGGCTCATAATTGAAATATTCATAGTTTAACCAGAAAATATCATTGATAACAGTTAATTTACTTAACAACTGGGGCAAAAAAGGCAGGCAAGTGACGTTTCTCTGGTTATCTTTGTTACCAACATGTTTTTATTGATGTGAAACATTTAAAAAGGATAAAAAGTTAAATAAATCTGAAAGTGGGTAAAATAATTTCCCATAATAATTTACTGTCAGCAGTGTGATGCTATAAAATGCAAACCAAATGCCTCCAGTTTTTGCCTTTTGAAGTAATTTTTTTTTAATATCATGCTCACAGCAGCTAACACTGTACGCGGTTGGTCACATGTACTTTTTGGATTTATTAAACATATCCCTTATTTATTCTGCCTCTCTCATTAAGTTGAGTCTTTTTTTGGCTATGAACAAAGCCATTCCAAGTCCCAGTGACTGACCGCTGCAATGACTGACCGCAGAGACTCTGAGCTCACAAGCTTTTTGTAGCTCTGCCTCTCAGGGCAACGACTCCCAAAAAAAGACGCTGCATCATGGGGCCCACACGTTTGTGCGTTCCCCTCTGATCTCCCCTCTGAAAGCCTAAACAGCAGCTGGTGAGATTAGAAAGGAGAGGACACTGACACACACACACACACACACACACACACACACTCACCCTTACATAAAGTCAGTCGGCCACAACGAATCCAGTTTAGACTGGAGTACCTTTTCATCAGGGATACTTCTGACTGGACACAACTTGCGGGAATCTCTCCTGGCATGGATCAACTTATCTTTAATCTGATTTTCTAGAGATTTTCATAGATCTCATCAAATCTTATGGTGGACCTTATGTTTAATTTGAGTTTCTTTGTTCAAACTTCTTCCCTTTGGGATCTCCGCTAAGTTATACCTTTATTGACTAATTCTTCCTGGTAGGTGCTTATCAGGCTTTGGCAATGAGTTGTTTCGGTTATCGTCGAGAGCTGAGTAAGTATGAAGATGTTGATGAGGACGAGCTCTTGGCATCGCTCAGCCCAGAGGAGCTGGCTGAGTTGGAAAAGGAGTTGGTGGACATTGATCCTGATGCCAACGTGCCCATTGGACTCAGACAGAGAGATCAGACAGACAAAACCCCAACTGGTACCTTCAGCAGAGAGGCCCTCATGAAGTACTGGGAAAATGAGACCCGTAGGCTTTTGGAGAACGAGATAGCAGGAGGAAGCCCCAAACTGGTGAGAAAAACACTTAGATGGGGTTGTCAGAAATGGTTGTATGGTTCACTGAATAGGTATTTGGCCCTGGAAAGATTTGTTTTATTTTTGCTATTCTGTTACACTTCCTGGGCTGACTTTCACCTGTGCTGAAATGCCATTCAGGGATGAAGAAGCCGTTACCAATAAAGCAACATAAGAAGCCCAATTACAGTTTGTTAAGGCAATCAGGAAAAGTATTTCAAGAAAAAGTCTTTGGAGTTTCTCAAGAAATTAGTCAGGAAGAGGAATATATTGGTGCAAATGGATCTTTCTAAATAACCAGAAGCTAGTCCTTCCACAGTGGTTAAAGGTCAAGATCATTTGTTGGCAGACCTGACACTGAGAGCCTTCAATCCTGAATCAGTGACACCACTTAAGTTAAGAGTAAATGTATGAAAATTCCATAAGAAGCTTGAAAGATGAAGAAAAGATTAATGGAGTTAAAAAATACTTTATGACAAAATGATAAAACCCCTCTCTCTTTGTCCTGGTATTTATCCAATAGAAAAAACATGAGCAATCACAGGAGACCAAAAACAAATGTTTAGCATTGTTAAAAGTCAGGTAATCAGAAAAGGCCATATGGGTTTTCATAACCATCCATTTTCCATCACACTTATCCCAAGTGGGGTCTCAAGGGGTGCAGGTGCCTATCTACAGGCGAGAGATGGGGTCCACCCTGGACAGGTCGCCAGTCTATCGCAGGGCAACACAGAGACAAACAAACAGTTGTGTTTTTGGACTGTGGGACGAGGCAGGAGTACCCAGAGAGAACCCACACATGCTTAGGGAGAATATGCAAACTCCATGCACAGTAATCAGGGAACCAAACCCAGAACCTTCTTGCTGCAAGAAAGCAGTCCTACCCACTGTTCCACTGAGCAGCCCATGTTTTCATATATTGCAGGTAAATATCTGATGGCAACTGAGTTTGACAGAGACTGTGAAATTAGAGCAAATCTTTCTGGGGTATACACATATTTTTTCCTGGTCTAAGATCTGACAAATGTGTATTAAATAATTCAACATTGAACATTTCTGATTGTTTAGCCCTAAACATCACCCCTGTTCAGCCCAATCTAATAAATATATCCAAACACAGGAGGAAGAACAAGAAGATGAGTGTCTGACAGAAGAAAACAGTGAAGAGGAGGAAAAAAATGATGAGAATGAAAAAGAAAGGAAAAAGTTGGACATTTCAAACAAGGAAAATCACAAAGAGGAAGATAGTGATGATGATGAAGAAGAAGAAGAAGAAGAAGAGGAGGAGGATGAAAGTGAGGAAGAGGATCCTGTAACTGAAGAGGAGGATGATGAAGAAACTAAAGACAATAGACCAAAACCTGAACCACCAAGATATACAAAGCCAGAGACGATTCAGGCGTTTAAACCAACCCTACTGAGACCTCAGAGGGTGGAGCCCACCAGGCTGACTCCTCCTCCTCCACCAGCTGACCTGAACTCCACTGGAAACCCTACAGTTGTTGATGACGCTTTGCAACACGTCCTTGATGATGATGCCGAACTCACAGAAGTGAATCTGAACAACATTGATGACATTAAACAGGTAAAAAAACTAAATGTCTTCTTTTCATCCCTGCAGTTTATACCAAGGCTTCCCTCTTTGCTGTATGCTAGTTTCATTTTAGAATCAAATTTATTCATTTTAGATCCTTCTGTTTCTTTCAATCTCTTTTATCAGGAAACTCTTATCCGATTTGCTGAAGCACTAAGATCCAACACCCATGTTCGAGTCTTCAGTCTTGCAAACACCCGGGCTGATGACCACGTCGCTCTGGCCATTGCTAAGATGCTGAAAGAGAACGCATCCATCACCAGCCTGAACATAGAGTCCAACTATGTAAGTGGGAAGGGCGTGTTGGCATTGGTTCAAGCACTTCCAGGGAACAACACCCTCACCGAGCTTCGCTTTCACAACCAGAGGCACATGTGTGGAGGACAGGTTTGTATTCAGTTTAAATCACTCAAACATTACAGTTTTTATTAGTTGTAAATAAACACAACGGCCTGCTGCAGGTAGAGATGGAGATGGTGAAGATTCTGAGAGAAAACCACACTCTGATCAAGCTTGGTTACCAGTTTAACCTTGCTGGTCCCAGAATGAGCATGACTGGAATACTGACCAGAAACCAGGACCGCCAGCGGCAGAAACGACTGCAGGAGCAAAGGCAACAACAACAGGGCCAACAGCAAGATGGAGCCGTCAACCCCAGAACCTCTGCTCTGGTGAGCATCTTTACTTCAGGCTGCAAGACTGATTAAACCAAGATCATTCAAGTTAATTCATAAAAAAAGGGAAAAAAACAATAAAATGAAATTACACTCCTATTCAATATACCTGATTTCAGCTCAAAGTCCCACTATAAAGTCCAGCGCTGTTTTTTAAATTCACCCCAGTTAATTTGATTTGTTTCTATTTCATGTATTTCTAGATTCTCATCTAGCTGAATTACTAATTATATAAATATTTCATCCATATAAAGTATTTAGTAGATTAAAATCTCTAGATTGGCTGTCTGGCCCAGAGAAGTGCAGGATTACAGTTATTTGTGCTTAAGGATCAAACTGCTAATTGGTCTGCTTATTGTTTCTGTGGTTCAGCCTTTTACTCTCAGAATCTGATCACCACTAAAATTAAATCTTTTATTCACCCAGATCAGAGGGAACCAGCACAAGATGAACTTTAAAAATGCTAAAAAAAAAGAAAAAGAAAATATATTTAATAAAATAAAAAAAAATGAAAACCCCTAAAAATGGACCTGTAATATTCATGTAATAACTGCCTTATAATACACCCATATCTTTTTTTTCCACTTGCCATTTTTCCCCCACTTGCCTTTTTTTGTCTATTGTGTCAAATAAAAAAAAAAACACAATATCTTTTTAACCCATTTTTATTTACCCATAAACTGTTTTTCATTTGCCTCCATTAAACTGCTCTAATGTGTTTATTTTCTCTTTAAAAGAGAGGAACACCCAGCTCATCGCCTTACAGTTCACCCAGGGCCTCCCCTTGGTCCTCACCCAAACTTCCCCGAAACAATGAGTTGAAAAAGCAGACTCCACCTGCACCTCCTCCTCCACCTCCTCCTCCACCTCCTCCACCACCCCCACCCCCGTTGGTGCCATCGCAACAGCAAAAGAATAAACCTACAAGGATGATAGCAGAGGTCATCAAGGCCCACGAGGCAGGCAGCAAGAAGGTGGCCAAACCGAAAGGGAAGAAGGGGAAGAAGGGGAAAGGGACGGCGAAAGAGGAGACGGGCTGCATCCTGAAGGAGCTCAAGAACGCCCTGAGACCTGTGTCAGTAGAGAGACGAGGGGAGGAGGGCGGCAGCAGGCCATCGACGCCCATGAGGTCCGCCCACGACCAGCTGATGGAGTCCATCCGCGGCAGCAGCATCAGGAACCTCAGACGGGTGAGGAGGGGGTCATTGTAAAGCCAAGATCATAAAACAAATTCCTTATTTGGATATTCTGGTTTGAAAAGTAGAAGCATACAAACTCTCTAAGGGGAAACATCCCAATCTAGGAGTTTAATTTCGACAAGGATGACACACAGTCAGTGGTGTCTGATTCATCTTAGTCGCTGATGTGGTATAATCCGATCCTGGACAGCAGTAGGTAGAAAAGGCTGATTTACCACCAGCCTGCACTGATGTGAGCACATTGCTTTTAGAGCCAGGAAAGGACGAATACAGACAATGACAAAGTCATCCAGCCTGCATTTTTACTCTGAAGTGGATGATAAGCTGGCTTCCATAACAGAGGAATGGAAAACATAGATAGCAGGGCAAATAATGAAACTAAAAGCGCATATTTTTGAGAGCTCTGCTTGCTTTTTTTCCACCAGTAAGTGGAGATTTGAGTATTAGCCTCCCGTTGCTGCTGGAGCACAGCTTGTTACATTGTTTTGGAAAATCATCCGTGCCCTCAGATAATGGGGTCTCTGGCTGTAGCTGGTAAATTCCATCCACTCAGCACAGGTATTTATAGAAACTGTTCGCTGGGGGCTTCGATAACAGCAGACTTGACACTTTATCACATTAGCCTGGTTGAAAACAGTCAGGATGCTGCTGTTCAGTGACAAACTTTTAATGTTCTTCATCAATTGTCTCATTTTTGTCCTTTAACATAATTTGTCATTTTCCAGGTGGAAGTTCCACATCATCTACGATGAGGACGCAGAAAATAGTGATCAGCTCTGCACTATAATGGTGATAATGAGGATGATGATGATGGAGGATGAGACCATCCTAAATTCCCACCTTGAAAAGATAAAAACATATATGCTGGGAATTTGCACTCAATTTGAAATATCTTTACGTTTCATAAATATATATAATAACCCATTTTTAACGTTTTATTCTTAAAGTAATATGATTTTTTTAAACCTGAGTAAATACAGAATGCAATTCGTAAATGATTATTTAATTTATTAAAAGCAACCTGGCTTTGGATGAAAGTAATTTGTTCATAAATCTCTTCAAAATTTGGGGAGGATGTGAATTTTTTTATATCCATCAGCCATATTGTATGATCAGATAGTTTCTATTTAAAGAATATATATTAAATGTCTAGTTTGAATGTGATAAGTTGAACACAGGCCAGGTTGCTTTGGATAGATTTCCCCTTAAAAAACAGTGTTTTGTTTAAATACTCTAGTTCCTTAGCCTGAAATATGATCTTTAACATTAAAGTGTGACAAGAAGCAAAAACAGCACAAAACCATCAGGGGGGAAAACATTGTTTTAACATTTACGGTCTTCTTATTCTGAAATGTTTACTGTTTTCTACATGTCTAATTCTTTGTAAGACTGTAAATATGTTTTGTTCTTAGTTGAAATATGTGTGTTCAATTCTGAATATATCATTTGCTTATTTGTAGCACAATGGAGGGAGACTTTTCTGTTTGTTCTTTGGTTATTGGATGAGTTTTATCCAAGGGGAGAAAAGTGGACAAGCTGTTATAAAGAGTTTTTTTTTTTATGTGTTTTTTTTTAATTTTATTCGGAGTGAGTCAGCTTACTGGTAAGGAGCCGCTGATGCACAGTCCCTCTCAAAGACGTGGACAACACACCCACTCATCTAGCGTGTTTTTGAGCCGTGTTTTTGCGCACTTTGTCTGATCAAATTGCAATACAGAGCCAGTGGAGAGAAAACAAACTGACGGTGACATCAGTGCTGATGCCAGTATCACCAGCGTCACCTAAAAGGCTTCCTCTTTGTGTTCTTATGTAAACAGGGAAACGTGCTAAGATCCTAACACAGTCAGGGAAGCAGTTAAAAATGCACACAAGATGTGATAAAAGCAGTAAATTTCAAATGTTATCAAAGGATCAGCAGAGGAAACTTTGTTTTGTTACATTTTATAAAAACTGGACATTTTCTAATATTGCAAAAAGAGGCTTCGATTTGTATTTCATTTTGATAAAAATTAAATTTCCTTAAAGTTGATCAAATATTATTCATGTGTTGTGATTACGTCAGCTGCCATATCTAGGATTTTGCCAGAGTCTGTTTATTTATTTAAATTGCACATTTTATAAGGAGGTTTGCCCTTAAACATTAAGTTTTTTGTGCTCTGACTGTCGAAGCTCTGTGCAGTTTCCTAAGGGCCTTCAGAAAGACAAGAATATGAGCTTATGGGTCTGATAAGGGTATCTATATTTCAGCTAAAGGTTTTCATTTTATAGACAAACTCTTAGGGCAACAATTTTATCCTCCTTCAGAGATAATCTATTTTCTTTAAAAAGAGCTGATTTTCCTTAACTCTGTTATATTTTGCAAATGTTATCCCTTTTTGGATAAAAAAAAATCTTACATTTGAGTAAATTTCACTCAGACAAATTTCCTTTTTAAGCGCTGCTCTGTAGTTTGATGGTTTCCCTCTAGATTTTCCTAAAAGATGTGCACCTAAAATGATTACCTTCTGTAATAAATACAGTGAGCCACTGTGGCACCATCTCTGGATTTATCCAAAACTCATTCCTGACACGTTCCTGCTCTCTAAGTGAATGTTACCTTATATTGAAGGTGAGATAAACTTGGGTGTTTTTGCTTTTTAACAACTGCTCACATATAAAAGTTAATGTAAGTGAATATTTCACTAATCTCATGGCTCAGTTTTTGTTTTTTCCTCTTTCCTATGTAGAAGAGTTGTTGTTTAAAGCCTGGTGAAGTAAAAACGATCCAGTTACATACATTTCTTAGAGGTGACAAAACCATTTATCCTCTATCGAGTAAATAGAGGGAATGCTTTCTTTGCCTTTTTAGTTTATGATATGAATCATTTCCGCTTCATATTTGGTAAGAATAGAAAAAAGCATGATAAAAGACCCAAACAGAAAGAAGAGCTTATGATGGGACGGGTTGTTTGGAAGCATGGAGAGATATAAGCCTTCTAATCCTGGTCTCCTGTTTGTCTGTTTCTCCTTGACTGCACAACTGTTCAAAGTATAACAGAGACTTCAGGAGGAGGATCTTAAAAGGTAGGTCATTACCAACATAATTAAATTTTAGGCTATATTTAGGTTTTAATATAAAGCATATGTGGTTAACTGATCTTTTGCAGCTGTTTTGCTTTGCTTTGAGGAGGAAGCTTGCTGTATGCAAGGTTTCTTTTAACTGACAGAACCAGAGTTGGGTTTGTCAGGCCGAGGGGCGGGGCATCTACCCATAAAACACAGTGCAAAACTATATCGCTACCATAAAGACTTACTTTGAGGATTCTACAGAAGTCTCATTGTTTTTTAAAGAATTTTAGCACCATTCTGAAAACCACACAATATCACTGAGGCTGCTAAGATCATCAGCCATAAACTCATGCCCCCTGACTTCTCTGTCGGTGCAGTGCATGAGTCTATTGTGTCAAATTATCATTCTACTAACAGCTGAACTCGTATTCAACTCTCTTTGGGTATTCCACACAGCGTTTGCTGGCATGATGTGAAAGGAAACCGGGTTACATAGGAGTTCAGGCATGCAACTTTTACATACAGGCTGGTTTTTACAATCTGTCATTAAGTTGATTGACACATCATAGTACTTCAATTCACTGTCTACTTTTTCACTTTTTGAATTTTTTACACAAATTTTAAAAAAATGAGTCTGTGATAAGCCAACACTGCAAAAACGATATATCTAAAAATGTCTTAAATTAAGCGTATTTACTCTTAACTTAAGAGAGTAAATTAGATTGAATGAGTACTTTTACTTTTAATTATTAAAATAATTACATAATATGCACTTAAAATGAAACAATGGAATTTTTTGTACTTATTTTCAATGTAAGTTGTCTTGTTCCAATAGTAAAGTGCCTCCCTTAACTCCTAGATTCAAGAAAAATGCACTTATTTTAAGAAAAATAAAACTCATTTAGAAAATCTGTGTGGTAACCTTACTATTTGGCAATTCATCTTAATTCTATTAGAAAGCATGACATATTCCCTCTAAATGGGGCTTAATCTGTAAGGAAAATAAATGTGGGGAAGGAGGTTTGAAAATCTCCACCACTTGGAAATCATTACCCAACATATATTGTCCAAAAAATCAGAAGCACACAAACAGCAGGTCAGCAATTTTAAAAGGGGTGCGATACCAATCAAAACTTGCTAACTCCATTAGTTATTAAGAGTATAAGGAATTTTTTTCATGCAATTTCTTTTTTTTGTGTGTCTGTAATGTTTTGAGCAATTTTCAAGTAATGAGTCTGTGTAAAAAGTAGATTTTAAATAATGTTTAAAGATTTTTTTAATTTTTCTTGATCATCATCATCAACAACCTTATTTGTTATTAGCTTTAAAACAGCCAACAGTTGAAAATAAGGTGCTGAACATAGCTAAAAAATAATAAAACACAATAAAGAATAAAATACAGCATTAATATATAAATCTAGGCAATAAGAATTTCTTTAAGCTAAACAAAAAAGTTCAAAACAACCAAGTCTTGCTAGTGTTAAAAGATGACGAATAAAAAAATAACATAAAATAAATAAATGGTGTTTTACGATTACTCCAAAAAGCCTTCCACCTCAAGGAGGCAGATTATCAAGAATGCATCCATTACCCTGCAAAAGAGCCATTACCTAAAGTAGGAACATTGATGCAGGATGTTATGTAACAAAATTATTCAAATTACCCAGCTGGATGAATAACATCAAGTCAAAACCCAAATGGTGCTTCTGCTTCTATAAACGCTTCTGTGAGTCTCTGTGTCGTAACACCAGTGGAAAGTGCCATTCCTTCTCTAATCCCTTTTATAAGCTCTGTAGCTGATGAAGGTTCAGCTGATGTGGGCATTACCTAAAAATATATAGCCTGCTAATAAAAGGTTCCTTATTTTAGATCATTTATTGCATGCATAATAAAGAGTGATCAATTTAAAGAGCGGGTAACATTTATTATGCTTTACTTTCCTCCATAGTTACTATTCCTACCCACCTTATGGGGCAAAACATCCTCAATAAAATGTGTTTTTTCTGAAAAAATCCCATTTTAAGAAGCATGGTGAAAAGAAAAATGATACACAGCAATTTTTGTGAAGATCAAACTTTTATTGGAGTTTACAACATTAGAGTTCAATACTTCTCAAGTCTCTTGAAGGACCTGGTGTCATTTTTTTTTTTACTGTCCTAAAGTAGCTAACAGAGAAATATGGCTGCTTTGTTTCTTGCCACAGAGCGTTATTACACTTTAACAGGTCTCTACCCTAGTTGAACAAGTGGCACTTTGTCTTTCATGGTCAGAACATTTAAGATCGACAGTTTGTTTTTTGTAAAAAGGCAAAAAAAAAAAACCCCAAAAAAAGATAATAACCAGCAGAAAAGGACCCGAAAATATATATTTGTTTGTGATCTGGTGGTCAGCTACTCAAGTTATCAGTAAAAGCTGCTATTTCTCAGGCAATTGGCATAAGAACTAAGGTTATTATCAAACACCTGTTAATAGTCTTATTTCAAAGTTACCATAATCAATGACATGTCATTAAAGGGAAATTAAGAGGAATATTTAGAGCTTAATGAGCTGCTAATTGAACCTAGAATGTGGGGTTGAGCTAAAACAGCTTCCAATAGAAATACAACTTAAGAGGAAAAAAGGTTTTTCCATCAGCTTAGTTTCCTGATGAACAAATGTTTAAACTGTATAGCTGTACGCAAATCTAACTTCTGCTTATTTTTCTTTAGGATTTACTTTTAACATGCTTTTTCTTTTTAAACAACACACCAATTTAAATCAGCAGTGTTTCTGGATCATTCAGGCTGATTAACCTTAATTTTTCCATATTTTTTACTCCTGATCAAAGTAGTTAGATATTCCCCTGCAGGTTGATTTTACTTAAATTGATTTATTTAGGTAGGAAAGGCGGAATTAGTACAGATGTGAAATAGAAGATGGTCTTTATCTTGCACAATGAAGTTCTGCTTCTTTATTTATTAGATTACATTTTGCATTTCCAGATACATGTGCTTTGAAAGTAGCAGAAATAAGACTGCTTTTAGCTGTGAACCTAGCTAGTTGGCTGGGCTTTACAGATAAGTTAATTATTTTGCAAATCTCAAATTTCCACTTTCAAGTCTCCTGTACCAGTTAGAAATGTTATTTTTCTTTGGTATAAAACACTTTCCTAAACAGATTGGAATAAAGAGAGTCAGTTTCCTGCAGCCGATAGAAGTTTTTCCTGTTAAAATTATACATCTATTAATTCCTGGAGTGACTTTTCTGGGTATAATAAACATTACATTCAAGCTGCAAAATGAATAATGCCCGTTTCCTCAAAGAGATAAGAGATTTCACTGATCTAAGCAGTGAGGGGTTTTGCAGCCATTTGCTTGAATTTCTGCTGCACTGTTATGCTGAACTTCACTAAATCAGAACCAGATATAAAGGGAACGTTTACTTTTAAGATGCCAGTGAGCACCAATCCCAGTAAAAGTTGAGAAATGCTGTGATGTTTTTACATTATAAAGCAGCTAAAACCGACATGGTGAGATGTACGTAAGGTTAGCATGAACCCATTATAAGAATCAGTGTGCAAAACTAAAATATCTTTATTTTAGCATCACAGGATGATTCACTTGATTCAAATAAACAGACATTTATTAATACTCCACTTTCTAGTGTAAAAAAAAAAGAAACAAATGAGCTCAAGTTCAATTTAACATGTAGTGTTGCAGAGATAAAACGGTTTATAGTGTGACAGATAACCAGTTCATATCCTTATTATTTAAAGTATGTATTTTAAATCATGATGCAAACCTTAAAATCTATAATCCTGCAGAAAGGCTCCACTTTTTTCATCCGTGCAAAAATATAAAGACTCAAAGTTTGGAGTAAATTTAAATTCCACAGTGAATGGAGCTAAATCCAAAATGTGCCATCTTCCTTTTTTTTCATAGTTTTTTCTTAAGAAAATATGACCAATAAACTAGAATTATTTATTATTTGAATATGTAAAAAATAAACTACAGAGCAACAGGATATGAAAATAACTTTCTTTTCTCCCTTTCTATTAATGTTACAAATATCTAAATCTGTGGCAACTTGTCTCGCTTTCACGTAAACCATCATCAATCCAGAAAGAAGAAATAAAGCAAACATTTAGCTCAAACGCTTAAGAGACATTTAAAATTGCACATTAAGGAGAGAAATAAGGATCATGTGTGAAGGAAGATTTGAAAAAAGGCAAACAGATGAACAAAAATAGGAACAAAGGAAAGAAGAAAAAAAAAACCCTATCAACGATAAAGGACAACCTCTAAGATTAGACCGACAAACATTGATAGATTAAACGAGGTATTGCACAGATTAATAAAAAAAAAGCATAAAGGCAACAAGAAATGTACAACAAACTAATAGAACATTTATAATTATAATCATGAAGTCATTGATTTTATTTTATTTAAAGAAACTGGGATCAATTTTAGTGTCATGGAGGGGGGGAAAAAAAGAAAAGATTCACTCGTCATCCCATTCATCATCTTCCTCAAAGTCCTCATCGTCGTCGTCGTCATCATCGTCATCTGAGGAGAAATAGAAACATAGAAATCGTTGTTTTTTTTAAAAAAAGAGACGGTGGAAATATTTTCAAAGATTTAAAACTGGTGTAAGAAATGAATTAGTAATATAAAAATATGAAAATCATCATTTAGAAACAGGAGGAATGCTGGGAAAGTAGCAGTAGAGTTGAGATTAGATAAAATAATCTAAGATGATAAGCTAATAAAAAAAATAGGGAAGGCTCCAAATTTTTCTCTTATATAAAAGAACGTAATCTATAAAATAGCAGTTAAAAACTTCGAAAATATTTAAAAATTGTTTTATCCATTCAATTAATCTATAGTATTCTCTATATTATTGAGTATATAGAGAGTACAATGGCAGATGGAGAATGCTGAATGTTTATGTACCCGAGGAGTGAATAGCTTTGCTTCGTTTCTGCATGGCCGCCATCAGCGCTCCTACGATGCCCGCTGTAGGGGCTGCGTCAGCTGGCGCGGGCTCAGAGTTATCATCCCTCTGCAAAGATGGGAAAGCATCATCAATAAGTCCATCATATTCAGGGACTGTTTGCAGCTACAGGCAGCTGACTGGAAAAAGAGAGAGACTGGCACTAACAGATTTCAGTTGGATTCCTTGTCGGATCTGGTCCAGAAGAGCATCTCTGCCGCCGGAGGAAACCGGTCGCTCCTTCTGTTCCACCTTCTTCAGCTGGGCTCCGTCTCTGATCTGACTCAGCAGCGCAGACTTGCCATCCCCTCCGTTAGCCTCTATAGAGGGTGGGGGAGGAGGTCCAGGGGGTGGGGGAGGTGGAGGTGGTGGCGGAGGAGCGCCGTTGCTGGATGACCCCGAAGAAAGCGGAGGAGGTGGCGGCGGCGGAGCCACTGGCATGGAGGCATGAGCCGGGGCGGGGGGCGGTGGGAGGGCGCCTCGGCTGGGTGGCGGAGGCGGTGGAGCGGACAAACCCGGACGGGATGGAGGCGGAGGTGGGGGTGCCACGACGGGAGGCCTGGAGTGGGGAGGGGGCGGCGGGGCGCCCCGTATAACCCGGGATGGAGGAGGAGGTGGAGGAGGAGCGCCAGAGCTGTGATGTTGGGGTGGAGGGGGAGGAGGGCCACTCCTGGGTGGAGGTGGTGGAGGAGCTAAAAACAAAAAAACAAAACAGACCTTAAAAACAGAACAAACTGTGACACTTTTCATGACCGAATGTCAGCTGCTGTGAGCACAGAGTTTCATTTAGCTTATTCCTCTGGTGATGAAGTCGCCATCAGCAGGCGGCTCTGCCAAACCAAACCATGCAATCAAAACGTTAAGCCATACAGGATCAGCTTTTAACCTGCAGCTGATCTCAACCGTGTTAGTAAGACTTCCCTGACTTTGTCATTATAAACAGTTCGCATTTTAACAGGATTTTATGCAACAGAATCCTTATAGCCTGTAAGGCTACAACGGGGACCAGTTTGTGTCTCACTGCACTAAGGTCAAAGTTCAGCAAATTTAAACTAACTGCTAAAGTCAGTTTAGCACGCTGTGTTCTTTGCTCAGCATAAAGCAAAACCAGCTAAATATGGTGAAGAAAATACAGATTAAAGAATTTAGAGATTAGCACTGCAGGAGGCAAATAATGTCAGAAACTGGCTCTATTTACAGAAGCAGCCGATAATGTGCTCTGGGTGGCCTAGTCAAAGACTGACTGAAAGACCCTTCCCACTGAATCTGGGCATATTTTACTGAGAACAATGTAAATGTTAGAGTTAACATGGCCCATGCATAAAATCCCCTCAAAATACTTTCAAGTTTGTCGTCATAAAGTGACGAAACGGTTTAGATAAACAAAACTTGAGAAACAAACTGTTATCAAGTTCCAGTTGCAAGTAAAAATCGATTCTTTCTTGCATCAATTAACATGCAAAGAGTTAAAAAAGTCAACCAGGGTATTGAAATTCTTTAGATTCTCATTATATTGTTCAATAAAATACCAGAAATATATTCAGCAAGTCTTGTGACAGAGCAGCCAGCTGAGGTATCATTAAAGTTTGGAACAGCACAAAACGTCTGCAGAGACCACAAACACTTCATGGTGGGACTCTGAGCACCACTGCACATGCAGCGCCATTTTTAAAGGCAAGTCATGCACAGAAACCTACCGCTCCACCTGGGCGGACCTGGGGATAGAACCACCACAGCAGTTAGATTGTCAGTTACAGACAATCAACCCATTTAAGAGAACTTCCTATTATTTTAAAAATAAAACATCCAAATACTATGGAAGAGGATTAGGGCCACTGGAAAAAAAAAAAAAAAAAGTTAACTGATTTTTAAATTTTATTTCAGTTTAGTATGGGGGAAAAAGTGAGAATTCTGACTTTAATCTCAGAATTCTGACTTTAATCTCAGAACTCTGACTTTAATCTCAGAACTCTGACTTTAATCTCAGAACTCTGACTTTAATCTCAGATCTCTGACTTTAATCTCAGATCTCT